TTGCATTTTCTGAAGAAACCCGAAATGGTTTCTTCACAACATTTATGTACCCATAAGATGTTTGTGAATAATAATAATAATAATAATAATAATAATAATAATAATAGTACTAGTCTTTCACTTTGATATTAGATTCGGATTTTACATTTGGATCCGCTACTTTTGATCTAGGCGTACTGAGATTCTAAGGCCTTTCTTACAGCTTCTCTGAACATTTAGGGATCGAATTGTCCAGTTGTCTAGAATTGCCGTTGAAGTAAATCCTCCGGCAAGATATGTGTAAATTCTCGGCTCACTCAGCTTCCAAATAATTTTAACTGATCAAATAAATGTAGTGATCCAACCAGCCAATCAATAATTCTTAGTCAAAGGTCATTCCTGTCTTATCTTGTCAGTAGTGTTACACTCACCAAAATTTTTTGTTTGACTGCACTGGGGTTTGGATTTTTCTACACGTTTTGTGTGTTCACTTTAATCTGGGGCTGGATGAACCATATTTTCATATTTCAAAATCTTCTCAGATTGATACCTTATTAATTGAATTTTGTTAGGATTTGTCTTCATCAATATGTGCCGATGTCGTACGACACCGGATCATTGATAGTAAAGGTCTTGCTTATGTAAACTCAAGGTTGCTGTGGACAGCAGTTATTTGTTACCACCATTCGGTTGCATGCCTTAATTTTTTGTTGTTCATTTTGATTCCCTCAGATAAAAGCTTCTCCGCTTGTAGCTCTTCCAGGGTTACTGATGGCATTAAGCCCGGATAGAGGAAGAGCGTTGTGCATAGATTCCAGCAACCCCATCCCATAGGAGATACCCTTGCTTAAAGACGCTAACCAGAAGGAGCAACTAAAACCGCTTGAGGAGCCTTCATTCAGGAAAATTGTGATGCCTCATGGTGAATGCTGAGATCCATCGGACAGCACGAGCCAATGTCCCTTCTAATAACCACAACAACAATTATTACGGATACATGGAATGTCCGGAAAGTCTAAGAGACCAGGAGGACTAATCAAGTAGCCGTAACAATGAGGAGATCAGCTTGACGGTGCTCGGAATCAGTGGAACCCAAGCTGAACACAAATGTTACATTTGGGAGAGTTGCTGGTTATGAAGGAGAAAATACCTTCCATACAAAAAAGTTACAGTGATGTTGTCCAAAGAAGAATGAAAAGCACTTGTAGGATGGGGATCTCATGGATTCGGAATCCTCAAAGTATCCTTCAAAATAAAGGGGGAGGGAATCACATTGATTTTACTCAGTGTCATGCGTCCACCAGTGATAACAATCAGGATACTAAATATCAGTTTTACGGAAAGCCGCAGTCGATCGTAGAGAAGCGCCTAAGAAAGGGACTAACCATTCTGATGAGAGGCCCAAGCTTCAAAGTCGGAACGGACAACATCGGGTGTCGAGATGTCTTGAGACAATATGGACTGGTAGAAAGAAAGAATCGCCGAGATCTTTGCAAGTAGATAACTAATTTCGTCTTCTTGTGAGTATTTTTATTGATTCTCAGGTATCAAACTCTTGTTTATCAACTATTCTTGTCGTTGTTTGGCACGTAATTTTGCGTTAGGCAAACCCTGGACTGTGTAGCACGGGCTGCACCGTTTGATATACTTTGTGCTGATGATATATTCTATAGGCTTTATCAAATTAGAGCTATTTAAATTTAACGCAGCACTGGACGACCGTTTCGTCCTATTACGGGACACCTCAACAGTGCTCAGCCACGACCTCGCTCGCAGGCTTCGAGCCCGGAGCCTTCGGTCTCGCGCGCGAATGCCTAACCTCTAAACCTCTGAGCCGTCATCCAACGGCGTTAATGTCTAACCTCAACCAATCCACGAAATTGTGCGACCATCTCCCATTGTACTGAGGTAGATTCCTGTCTCTACCCAACACGGAATAACTTCACTGGCCACGGCCCCTCACTAGAACTCAGAGAATTCCCTCACGAAGTTAGTCATCAGTGAGCAAATGGTCCTCGATCCGAATCCCACGAAAGGGATCGTGGATGCACACTTCTGAGTCCTACAATAGGACGAAACGGTCATCTAATGCCTCCAGGTTAGACAGTTGTCACCAGTCGTCATTGTTGATTTTTGTTGATCGATCAAAGTCTAATGACTAGTTACCTCGGGCAAGATGACTTTCGTCCCAACAACTCACCTGACTACTAATTAATGTTATTTCCCCACGATACTTACCGTCACGCTTTTGTTGAACTTACTGATACTAGCGAAGTCGAGTGACCAAACTACCATATTTGAATGCTCCCAAAGACCTAGAACACCTAGATGACAACACAGAGCAATAAACTCGTCTAAACTAGATCATTATGGACGTTTAAGCGAATTCCCTAGGAAGTAAGGGGGATAGGTTCAAGTGTTACCCCGTAATAACTTCCATCATTAATAACTACCTAACTTGTTTTACCTATAACTTTTTGAAGAAACATTACAAAGAACCATACGTTTCTATAGTCAAGAGCTATTCTGTTACCCAGACGCGGATCACAAGGAACTGCACAATATAACAAACTGTAGGTACATCTACTACTTGGGCGGCTAGTCCCTTCTTAAAAAAAGACAGTGCGCTTTTGGAAAAGGCTCAGAGAACAGCAACTAAGCTCTTTTCAAAATGATAAAGAGAACTATGTGTATGAAACTAAGCTGATTCCCGGAATTGCGAAGCTCACGTATGATGCTCGACTGGCCAAGCTAAATATATTCATGTTGTCATGTCGGAGAACTAGAGGCGACTTGATTACTTACTTGCTTACTTACTTACTTACTTAATCCTGTTGCTCCCAATGGAGCATAGGCGCCGATCAGCGTTCTCCAACCCACTCTGTCTTGGAACTTCTTGTCCAGTTCTGTCCAATTATTGTTCATTCTTCTCATGTCTGTCTCCATTTCTCGACGTAGTGCGTTCTCTGGTCTTCCTCCTCTTCTTTATTTAGCCTTGAGGATTCCATGTGTGGGGTTGCCTTGTGACGCAGCCGGGTGCTTTCCTCAATGTGTGTCCTATCCACTCCCAGCGCTTCTTCCCGGTCTCTTCCCCCTGTGAGATCTGGTTTACTCTCTCCCATAGTAGGTTGTTGTCAGTAGTGTCTGGCCAATGGATCCGAAGTATTTTGCGTAGACAGATGCTAATAAGCACTTATATCTTCTGGATGATTGCTTACGTATTTCTCCAGGTTTCCACCCCATACAGTAGAACCGTCTTCACATTCGTATTGAAAGTTCTGATCTTGGTGTTGTTTGACAGAGAGTTGTTTTGAGTTCCAGATGTTCTTCAGTTGTAAATATGCTGCTCTTGGTTTGCCGATCCGCGCCTTCACACCTGCATCAGACCCACCATGTTCATCAATCATGCTGCCCAGATATGTAAAGGTTTTTACATCTTCTAAATCTTCTCCACGAAGTGTGATTCGACTGTTTTATGCTGTGTTGTATCGAAGAATCTTACTTTTCCCTTTGTGTATGTTGAGACCTACTGCTGATGAGGCTGCTGCTACACCGGTCATCTTCTGCATTTGTTGTTACCTGGTATATAGGAGATCTAGACGATCTGCTAAGTCTAAATCGTCCAGCTGCATCCTAGCTGTCCACTGTATTCCATGCCCACACTCACATGTTGACGTCTTCATGATCTAGTCGATCACCAGGAGAAAGAGAAAGGGTGAGAGTAAACGACCTTCCCTAACACCGGTCTTCACCTCGAAGGAGTCTGTGACCGGTCCTCTATGCACGATTTTGCAGTTTAATCCATTATAGGAATTCTGTATGGTATTGACTACCTTCTGAGGCACGCCGTAGTATCGAAGAAGCTTCTATAGTGTTGTCCTGTCCACGCTATCAAGTGCTCTTTCGTAGTCAATGAAGTTGATGTAGAGTGATGAATTCCATTCAATCGATTGTTCCACTGTGGTCCGTGAACTTGCGATTTGGTCTTTACACAAATGACCCTTACGGAACCCAGTCTGTTGGTCTCGGCGACTTGATAACAATTTTCAAATTGCTTAGCGATAAATTTAAACCTGATATGCCTTCATTTTTTTTCCAAAACAGAATTTACGAGGACACTACAAAAAAGTTCACAAGCCCAGAACAAATTATTTGTCAACTGACTATCGAATTCCCAATCGAAGCATCAACGAGCGAAGTTCATTAACTCAGCATGTGGTTGGGGATCCGTGTCTCGACTCTTTCAAAAGAAAGCTGCAACAACTGAGAGACCATCATTTCCAGGACTAACACAGACCATCAAGCATCCTGTCCTTTCCAAACTGAAACTGATGAAGATGCCACAGGTATTTGGAGTTCGACAACGCTTTAACCAGTAACACCTTCTAATGTGAAGCGTACCCACCAAGTGAAATCAAAAGACAGAAGCGAGGTGGTTCGAAGATAGATTTGATAGGCTATCAATATATCGAGGATCTACTAATCTAATCTGGTTGGCGATTGCAGGGGATGTTGAGCACGGCGTTCTCACCCGTGATCTGGTGCGTTTGCATGACTGACCGCCTTCAGCTAGGTCAGTCCATTAAAATGAATGTGATCAGCATCGAATGTCGGAGACTTATAGGGCTATTGATTTTGGAAATTTATTTTCCGCCACACTGAAACTGGAATGTTGGGATTCGCTGCTGGCTGAGCTAGTCCAAGCGACTTCCCAAGAGTCCTTTAAAAGAAACCTTGAAATATTCTTATGGACGAAGGACATATCCAACTATTATTAATAATTCTTTTTTCTCTTTTATCACTAATATACCTAGGTTCTTACCTGGTGACATCGGTGATCCACTGCTCCTAAATACGGAAGCTCGTTAAGCAAAAGCTAGTTATATTCCATCTAGAACCATTCGAACCATTTAAAAATATTTGTACCAGGTTGCCGGTCGTGCCAAGCTAAGTTTGATGTTTGAATCTTAAGTTATCGGATATTGGAACTAACTTAACAAGTGTGCTACAGCAGATTAGTCATGACTGTTGCTGTTCCGGGCGAAAGTGCTAGAGAGAAAGCACTAAGTTACTACAGACGTAAACTTGTGGAACATAGAGGAATAGATGCAAGGCTCAAGGAAGGTAATAATTCCACCCCGTTATCACTCATAAACTAGCTCGAGAAAAATCCAAAGCGATTTCGAAAGAGTACGACAAAGCAGAGAATGATTTGAAAGCGCTCCAAAGTGTTGGTCAGGTATTTTATCTTGTTTTCTATTTAATCCGTGTTTGAAGATAGTAGGTGATGTTTTGAAGCAGCTGACTGATGATCACTGTAAGTTGCTTTCTGCTCTATATAGCTGCTAAACTCAATCTCCCTATTTTGGGGAAATTTCGTGGAAGCCGCTGTAAAAAATTCTGGAGGAGTGACACAAAACCCCCAATTTTTCGGGGAAAACGGTCATTAGATTTTGGGAAAACCCCGAAAATTCCCCAAAACTGGGAGGTTGGGAATCATTTTCATGTTTCGTTTGTCATCACGATTCAGACTGTTATCTATAATAATACATTTCCAAACGTTGAAAAATAGTGTGGCTAGTCGTAATATGTATTTTTGTAGTATCATAATCGGTTTTAGACATGACAGTGCTTCCAAGCTGTCTGTCAGACAGAAATGTGCTCAAAGCACTTTGAAGCCCAATGGATAAACTCCTCAAAGTAAACACTGTTACACAACCACCTCTTCGTCTTCACAAATCAGCGATATGACTAAAGGAGTGTGTGCACACCATTTCTCTCCGTTGATAACAGTGAAAACCGTCGCAGAACAGTGCGATGGTTTGGTCATGTCACCTAGGAGATTACCCCAGCCGTCAGCATACATGTGATATTGTCTTGCTGTAGAGAAACGTTACCCAAGTAATACCCAGTCAGTCGACAATCGGCATTTATTAATATGCTACATAATCATTGAAAAAGACAGCATGTGGTTGAAGTCATCATCGATGATGAGTTCCAAAAAGATTCCCTGATTCCGAATATTTATATGAGCATTTGTACGAGCATCTCTGTATCGGATTTGTCGAACACAATCTTCCATAACTGAGAGTTTGCTGTTCCTGCTTCAGATGGTTGTCTACCAATTATTGGTTCCACTGCTATGTAAGTAATTGTTAGATTCAGAAATATTTGCATGTCCGAATTTACAGGCTTTACTGTCTTTTAACACCATTTCCATTTAACTTGAGACCCTTTTTACACATTCCTCTAGTGGGTTGCGTTCCATGAACTATTCTTCGACTGAGTGAAAGAAACGATATCAGTTTGTGACGTATGGGGTTTTAGTGAATGATAGTTCTGATAGGTTTACAGTTGGAGGTACATGTAACCTTGCATAGACCCATGAATACTATAGAACCCTGACCATAGCCCAAAATAAAAGCTACCGGTGGTCTTACCTACACTTTCTGTTTTGTTCTTCCTAAGTGGTAAGACATACTTTTAAAAGGTGAGACATACCATGGTTATGTTCCCAGTTGGCTTGTGTCCTTTAATATTCGTTGCTTTTGCTTGTACCATATGATTATTTAATTCATAATGTTTTATAATACCTTTATTGCCACAGTGCTTTATATGGGAATCAACTTTAATGCTCTGTGGCACCTAACATGTGTTACTAGTGTACTAATTATTAGAGCCAATGATAACTATCTACTAGATTTCTAAGCTTCGAAATGAATTGCTTCAATTCATCACAATGGCCATCAGGTTAAGTAAATGACCATATTCCTTATCAAAAAGACAAACTATTAGCATGAGGAGAATAACTCTTAATAGTCTACTTCTTTCTTAAGTATGTGCTAATGTTTTCTGCAAAAATGATGGCCCCCAAATATCTTGGTACGGCCGAGAGTGGGGAGAGTCCGCTCTCCCTCTCAAAATACTCTCACACGCCCGCGCGTATACAGCCTCCCCGGCTGGGGTCCGAGAGATGGTGCTACACAGTGGCTAGAGACGTTATCAGATATGGCTCAGAATAGAAGCCAGTGGCGATCCTGCTGTAGCCTTCTTTTACTTTCTTCATAAAAAGTGGTTGTGTCTCCCTTACCTGAAAGATTTCTTCTGATTGTACCTTTCCGTTCCCTCATTTCTACCATACTACCTTACACCAATCTCCTCGTTATTGTTTCTTTTTTTGCGCCCCTTAGCTTTTTTTTCTATTTCTATTCGAATTCTCATTGTTTTGTGTGGCGCATATATATTGGGGCTCTCTTGTACCAATATTCATGTGTTCAAATAAATAAATAAATAAGAGTCCGCTCCCTCTCCAAATGCTCTCATATGGCCACGCGTATATAGCCTCTGCCAGGGAAGTCCTACTCATTGCCTTCTCGTGGCGGGGATGTTGTTTACAAAATTGGGAGGACGAAAAGTGAATGTCCGGCGCTTTGACCAGGTTGGTGGACACTGAGAGTCCACCTAGGGGAGTTGGAAAACCCTAATTCCAAACCAATGTTGCACATGGACTCCATTATCCTGAGGGGACAAATCGCGCATATGGCATCCGAACATTAAAAGCTCCAATATACAATTTACAGTGCAATTTCAGTAGACCAAAATTGGTATTTCATGGGCTCGAATAATAAATGACAATTGTAAAACAAATCGGATTTTCAAGACTAATGGTGATCATATTGTTACTAAGAGCAGAGGAAAATGTGAAGGGCTGATAAATAGCTAGAGTTACATTCGCGCTTTTAGAAGTACGCACGAAACTAATCCTTTACAACTAATCGCATTGTAGAAGCTTGTATCCTGGATGGTGAATAAAAACGTACATGACCTCAAAGCCCAAAGTATATCTATCTGAGGTTATCATGCGCTGTAATTCTTGAAATGGTGGTAGTTTTAGGGTTCACAACTTGAATTTATATAGGAAAAAGGATTCTAGTCTTGGAATAGTGTTTTTCTAACCTCCCACCTCACTATTATCACATTCCACCAGTCGCATTCTACAGTCGCCAGTATGACCCCTTGAATTGTGTCTCAATACTACTTGTTTTTTTTATTCTGACAGTAACCAGTTCCCTTGGTTTACAAACTAACCATTTTAACCAACATAATTCGACCGATATTTTTAAAATAATCAATTGATATTTCTATCGTTGCTTGCACGTGTAAGCTGATTTCTTCTCATATAGGGAACTGGTATACGTCTATCAGAAGTACTGCGAAATATAGTTGATTTGGCAAATGTAAATCTCAGTCCATCATAGCTTTTTAGGGTTGGAAACTAGTCTCGAATAGATTTAAAAAGTTCAATGCGACCTTGTGAAAATTCAGGCTCTGTGTTACGCACTATTTTTATCTAGAAGCCTGGTAACTCAGTTTTCATTGGATGATGTGGGATTTACACCTATAACCTTGTTAAATGTCAGAGGCATAAATCATTATCAAAATGGAGTAGTAGAAGTTATTTTAAAGGTAAGTGTACTTTAATAGTTTACTTCATAGTACTATATTGTTGCATTAAACATTCATGCCATTTTCGACTTTGTCGGATGCATTCTATTAATAGAGGTTTATCTTTGTTTTCTAGTCATTGTTAAAGCTAGTAATGGGCCGCGATATGTTGTTGGCTGTCGACGCAGTTTACAAAGCAGTAAATTAAAGCCAGGCACTAGAGTTGCATTGGACATGACCACATTGACAATTATGCGCCAATTACCACGCGAAGTCGACCCACTAGTCCATAATATGTCTGCAGAAGACCCAGGTTCTGTATCTTATGCTTCCGTTGGTGGTCTGGCTGATCAAATTCGTGAACTCAGAGAAGTAATTGAACTCCCGCTTATGAATCCAGAATTGTTCCATAGAGTTGGTATAACCCCTCCCAAAGGATGCCTTCTTTATGGTCCACCGGGGACTGGGAAAACTCTTCTAGCACGTGCTGTAGCATCACAACTTGATGTTAACTTTCTAAAGGTATTTTGGATTCTCTACTATTGGTTTGCACTGTGTACTATGATTAATACCAGTTATGTCACTACAATCAATTCGAACTGTGATCACATGGAATTAGCTGAATCTATTATTACTATTAATAATTTATTTTAAGTTACTCCTCTTTAAATGATGACTGGATTAAAACTGTAGATACAGAACAAAATCACTTCACTGCAATTAAAGTTGGGTCACTGAGTATCAGTCAGCTACAACGTAGGACCAGCCACATATGTGCATTGATCCAAGTTGTCATACCACAGCACAACAAGATGAACACCAGATTCATAGTAGTTAATTCACTGGTGGTAATATATAAAAGAAAGATTGAATGTAAGGACATAGTACAGGAAGAAAGAATTAGTACTTAGAAAGATATGAAGCGATTTTAATCTCATAGTTTAAGGGAAGACAGAGAGTGTATACACCGACGCCATTGTGATCGATTCTGAGCCATGTCACCCAGAGTCTCCAACCATTGGTTACGATGGTCGCGCAGACCCCAAACTAAGTAGTCTGCATCTACCAACATAGCTCATACCAAAAGTTAGTGACTCTGTGGACTGATGCCCAACACCGGTTAGCATTGCACGTCGTGGTAGTCGGTGTTCAGGCATACGCAACACGTGGTCCATCCATCTTAGTCGACGAAAATTCACAACCTCATCGACTGATTTACCATCATTCCCTAATACCCTGCGTCTAACCTCACTATTACTTACCCGGTGATTCCAGCAGATGTGAGCATTATTTCTTAGGTATCTGTGGTCAAATACTAGTAGCTTACAAATATCTTCTACTCTTAATGACCACGTTTCGCAGCCATAAAGTAAAACAGAACGAACTGCCGCGCAGTATACTCGTCCCTTAATTGGCAGACGAATACTAAGCAATAGGAATAGCTGGGTCATAACCGTAAGAAAAGAGATTATAACACTCAGTCACCGAGTATTGATGACTCAGAACGTTATTGATATTAAAAAAAGTTGCATAAAGTTATGATTACAGAGACAATGGCTTTGACGTAGTTCGACTTTTAGGTTATCTAGTAACATCAACAATTATGTTGGTATAATACAAATGTTAGCTCATGTAATTATATTCTGTCAATAGAGACGTTTTATTTCGTCTGGAATTGTGGTAACCTAATTATAACTGATCAGCATTGGACCTAGCACAAATCTTCCTCAGCCCACTTTATCACACATCAGCACTGCGAAATAAGATGGAAAAGTAAACACTGAGACATTATAAGTATCAATGATAGTGAATAAGATTACACAGAATATGATTTGAGAAAAAATGAATTCCCGGAATAAAAAGCACAGAACAATTTTGAAGCTTAGAATCTGATGCTAAATAAGGTGTGAATGCATATATTTGCATCATTCCGGTCGAGTTTGATCAAGCTGTTCAATGTCTCCAACTATTGGTAACTATAATCATAAGAAATCCAAACATTTAGTTTCCATCACTGACTTTATACATGAGTGTCGTTTCTTACGTTGGCCGCTCTTAGTTTCTGTCCAACTTACTACGGTAGTCGAAATTTCGCACCGACAGTAATTAATTAGTTAGCCATCGTTATCTATATTTGATATCGTCATGATTGTATTACACTACCACAGATGCACTCAGTCATCTTTCATTCAATTCTAAAAATAAAATTACCCCCAGTTTAATACGTTTCTTTTGGTTTTTCATTAATATTTATATGATTATTGTTTACTCCCTTGTTATCCTCCCGTTAGTTTAATTAAAGTATGATGTACACTTGTTATAAGTTATCTATTTATAAATGTAAATAAGCTCAAAATCTAGGTCAAAGGATCTCTGGCGATAGTTTAGCATTATAGAACATACAGGACGTATTATGATTTTGTGCCATATATATTTAAGGGTAACCCTTTTTGGGTTGAGCTATTAAATTTTGACGAATGACCAACTTACAAGAGTAAAAATTCCGCCTCCAAATGCCCTGGTACGGCCGATATTGGGAAAAGTCAGCTCTGCTTCTCGAAATGCTCTCACATGGTCATGTGCATACAACCACTGCCAGGGAATTCCTACTCACCACCTCGTGGCAGGGATGCTTACGAAATTGAGAGGACGAAAAGTGAGTGTCCTGTGCTTCAGCCGGGTTGGTGGATATGGAGGATCCACCTAGGGGAGTTAGAAAGTCATAATTCCAAACCCATGCTGTGCATGGACTCCAGGATCCTGAGGGAACAAATGGCGTACGAACCTATTGTTGGTCACCGGCTACCATGAAACTGCATCACCTTACGTTGCTCTACTGCCTTGTAGATTAGACCTCCAAGTCAAATGCTCGGGTTGTGGCCCCCTAAGAAAACGTGCTTCGGTTCATGCACCCAGGGCAGTATCCCAGCCCTCACACAAATCAATTGGTTTATGTGACGCATATCTGTTTGGTGCCTCCTTGTAACGATGTTTGTGTTTAAATAAATAAATAAAATAAATTATAAATACAAATCATTTCATTTTATAACACCCTTCAGCTGAATGTCTTATATGAAAGTTTTCAAATTTGTGAACTCGTTTCAGATCATTTAAATTATTAATACAGTACTAAGCAGTAGATAATATGGAATAATACGACTTGATCAGTTAATACCTACTTATAAGACAACATTATTAACATTAAGCTTCCAAATAAACTTACCAAGACAATAGAGCTTGTCTGCAGGATAATTTTTTTCCAACAAAATGCCATGCTTATATTCAGAATGTTACACATAAAAATGCAATTATCATTGGTCACTCAAGCCAGTGGAATTAGGATCTATCTACCAAGTTCTGTCATTACTCTTCTGTCGGGAAATATAATATTTCCGTGAAATTTGACGACAACCATCCTAAAAATTCTTAAATTCTTTATTTTTAAATTTTTGCCCGCCTTCAGTATCTCAAGTCTCAAATTCTTGATGGGTCGTTCTCAAGGTTGCCACCAAATTCCCGGTTAATAGCCACACTTTTTCTACTATATACAAATTCCTCGACTAAAGCTGCAATAAAACTTCGTTTTTCCAATAGCTCAGAGCTTAGTTAGAGAGGTATTCATAGGACCGTGCGCTTTTCCGTTGTCACTGTTTTTTTTGTAGTCCAGCTAATTCATAAGATTTCCTACACAATAGATTCACAAGTAATCTAACGGAAACTTCGTTTTTTTAAAATCAAATCGTACACAGGTTGTATCCAGTGGTATTGTTGACAAGTATATTGGCGAGTCAGCTCGTCTTATTCGAGAAATGTTCAATTATGCACGAGATCATCAACCCTGCATTATTTTTATGGATGAGATTGATGCAATCGGCGGTCGTCGTTTCACTGAAGGTACAAGTGCTGATCGTGAAATTCAACGTACTTTAATGGAATTATTAAATCAGATGGATGGTTTTGATGCACTTGGTCAGGTAACTATTGATATTTTCTGTTTCTGAAAAGCTGTTCATCTCTAATTTATTTTCTAAAGTATATATTACAAGGTTACTTTTTATCAGTTTATGTTAAAATCGTTGTATTCACTGGTAAATATGCATTGTTCTTAAGGGCGGGTTAAATGTTATTATTTCCTAGAGTAAGTATTCTTAATTGAATTCTTCATGAATTACCGATAAAATCCTTTGACCAACTTTAAAATGACATTGACTTCCTACGGAATTTGGTTTACCATTAAAAGTAAGAGGGCATTGAACGGCTGTTTTATCTTCTCATGAAATTCCTCAGCATTGTTGACTCGCTAACCTGTCAGTAATCAAACCCAGAAGCTTATGGAAAGCGCGTTACAGCTAGGCGACCGCGTTAACATCTAATGGTGTACATTTCAAACTGCAGTCAATTCTCAATATTGCCATAGGTCATACTGTGGTGTATGCTACTTATGTTTACAGATATAAGCAGTATGTAATACCAGTCTGAAGTAGAATGTCTGCGAGCAAAAGGTTGGGAAAATTGAAGTGAAGAGAAAAGAGAAGGAAACTGAGAGCAATCAAGATAACAACAGTAGTGAAAGAACAATGAAGCTTGTGAAAGACAATTCAGAGATGTGCAAATGATGTATTTGTTGTATGATTTTCACATTTTGCTAAACCACTGTGTGACTGTGCATTAAGAAAATAAATTAATCTTCCACACTTGACTTATACGTTCACTACAATACTTGTTTCGCTCTCGGCATAGTTAAACTTCACTGGTCACATATCCTCACTTTCATCATACTGGAGTGAAAAACAAAAGTCACCTACATATGTTAAATCCTTTGTCATAATTTCTTAGACATGAATTTCATGCTCTTTAGCACATATCGGTAAGAAGTATTTATAACTTAAAAAGCCTCAATATTGTTTGAGTTTTAAATCTCTTGTCAGTTTCATAGGCTGTTGTTGATTAACTAAGGATATGTTATAGTTACTAACTTCATCGACTAAAATACTGTAATGTTAACCATAAAGATGTATCACAAAATGTCGACTATCACTACGATCTAACTGAATTCGGTATACTGCTTTACTTATTTGTGCAATTCTATTTCATTTACGATCACAGGTTAAAATGATCATGGCAACTAATCGTCCGGATACCCTTGACCCAGCTCTACTTAGACCTGGACGTTTAGATCGTAAAATTGGTAAGCTTCTATCCTTTGTCATAATTTATTTTCTTAGAAATTCCTCTGCCTAATGAACAAGCTCGAATGGATGTACTAAAGATACATGCAGCTCCAATAGCCAAACATGGTGAAATAGGTAAAGTGTCATTTCCTTGATATCTCGTTCTTGTATTGTTTATATTAATTCTCTATTTGTCAAATTATAAAAAATACTCTAAATTATGCAATAAATACCTATATATTTCCTTATCCTTACTGTGCTTATAACTAGAGAGAGTTTTCTGATGGGTTACGAAATCGCTCAAGGTACTTTTGTCAATACCAGTTAATTATAAATAGTATGGTTATGATATACAAATTTCACAATGGGTATTACTCCAGGAGTATTAACATAGTACTTTTTGACTGCCATTCAAATATCACTGAGTTTAACCTCGAGACATGATAATTGTAAGTGAAATACCTAGCCTATTGAAGTTAGTTGATTATTATAGTACGTTCTGGTGGTCCATTGATATCAATTAGTGTCATCAATTTTGCTTTAATTTAACCAAGTCTGATTAGCTAATACGTGTAGATAACACTCAAAGACAGAAGATTAGTTACTGTTATAACGCTCGGTTTTCTACGTCTACACAAATATCTACATTAGATTCCTTCCCAGTGTCTATTCTACAGGACTTCAACACAACACAGATCAAGAGCACGTGATTAGCCTAACTAGTACGTAAGTATATTTCCACACCAAAAAACTGACAACTGAATATATAACTCATCTAACGCCTGTCAAACCATTTACAAGTCTGACTAAGCAAACAACCAATCATTATCTTTCTCGCTCACACAGTTACTGATTTACTAACTCAATTTAAACTTCTAATTCATGGTTATTCTCCATACCTGTTTTACGCGAATCTAACTTTACTGCATAAATCTTTAAATAAAAACGAAACCAAATTAAAAAATAATAATATGACGTCCATTTCACACAGCATCACATAAACATCGAATAGAGAGTACTAGAATGTGCATCATGAAAACGAAAAACAAAAAAAGGGTAGTGGCTAGCAATGGAATCGAGGACACGCGTTTCGTCCCATTTGGGACTCGTCGGCTGGATGTACTCGCATCCCAGAGTTGATGTTCACTCCTGGGCTCGAACTCATTACCGTTCACTTCGAACGCCATCGCGTTATCCACTTAGCTACTGAGTCCTTATAGCCACTTGCTTATACAATGAGGTTGAGTTTAAATTCACTTGGTGTTGTTTTACTTGTATCTTCCCAGTGTTATTTAGGACTGTAATTGATCGATCTCATGTTCGCATACGTGCTTCCTGGGCGGATTGCCTCGATTTAGTCTTAAAAACAAAAAATATTATCGAAAAACAAAATAAGGATAATCATATTCTAAAATTAGAAATAGGAAGTAGTGCAGAAATATAGTGCAAGTATAAACAAGAAATCAATTTAAGTTTTATTCAGTTAGTAGAGTGTATTGTATGACTATGAAAAGTATAATATAGATGTCAATGGCTTTGTACCAGATTAATAACATGTTTTCTCTCTCGCAAACAATCTAGTCATTTTCCCTATTCATAATGATAATCTGCGGCCCGGATAGCTCAGTGGTAACGTCTCCGACTGTAAAGCTGGGTGACACGGCATCGAGTCCGCCAGGGAGCACCAGTTTCCTCATGATTACAGGTACACGTTGCTAACGAGTGCCAAGTAGCACGAAACCCGAGTTCAGGGTTTCCTGTCGACTACCTCCAACCACCATCTAATGATAATCTGTTTTTATATACTTTATTTGAGGCAATGATCAACTATTCAACATCTAAATTTCTTTATTGGTGAAATAATTTAGTACTTTCAAGATTCTCATATTTTATCTAATTGAATATGACATAGATGGTGCTTGGTACCTGTGTGGTTGCGCCACAGGATTGAGCTGTACTATTCGGATTGTAGCGTTAAAGCCTGTACGGTGTCTGGTTCCTCTGCCAAACGGAGTTGAGCTGTACTGTTTGGGTTTTTACGTGAAAGTCTGGATGGTGTCTGGTTCTCCTGAAAACCAATGTAAAATTACCCTGGCCCACAAGGGTATATTATATAACTGTGAATATGACATAATTTGTGTATTGTAAAAACATGTGCAATCACATTACATCTACGATAATATTGTATAATATAAATTTAAATATTTTGTTTGTTTACCAACTATTAACTTACTTAATTTATTCTATAGATTGGGAAGCAGTTGTTAAACTATCTGATGGATTCAATGGAGCTGATCTACGTAACGTTTGCACAGAAGCTGGTAAGTTTTATAGTAATCATGCTGTCGCTTACCTTTCTTAACAGTTTTTGAATATACTAATTGTTATTTAGTAGGATCATTAGAGCTGATTTATTATAGTATTTAGTAAAGTATGAATAAAACAAAACCTTGTGTATTAGATAATGAATAAGGCAAATTTAACAGGATTTCAATTCGTATTCATCTTGAATTGATGAAGAACAGTTGCAGTCCAGATAGTTGCTTTTGATTTAATTGCGAAGCTTTCATCGTCATTATGAGAAAAATCTTCAGCGCTTATGTCATGCAGGATTCGTATTCACCCTACATTTAGTAAGGGGACACATTCAAAGCAGCTGACGAGAAACCTCGAAATATTATGGATCCATACTATTCTGCACTAATATTTGTTCTTGCTTTATTTAAATTCATAGAGGGAACCAATTGCATGAAATTTCCAATAGATGTGACTGCATACGATTTACAAATTATATATATTCGTGCATTTTATTCGGTCGCCCAACATACTTTCTCGCCCAAGTAGTCAGTTGTAGGATTAGAGCGTAGCACATCGTGTATTAGTACCAGTTTTCGGACATCACCCGTCACAATAACTGGAGTTGAGGTTATTCTCCATAATTTAATCCTGTAGACTCTAATTGCCACTATATGGGGAAAAATGTTTGAAGAAAGTCCAGATACCCACTACAAATTTCAAATTCTCAGACTACCTATTTATGTACAAATAATACGTCACTAATAAGTGTACACTGTACTTATCCCATCTTTCGTTTTGCTTATGATGACATTCTTCAAAATCCTGTTCTCCACTGTCTTCGAATGCTATATCACGTATCTGTTGTTGAGTTTAATTGACTAACTCAACAATTCCTTACTTTTTTTTATAATTTTCAATTGTGTCAGTCTAACATAGTACCAGAGCTTTTATTTCTCAAATGTTATTTAACCTTCTTTTTTTTGGTCAATATAGGTATGTTTGCTATACGTGCAGAGCGAGATTATACAATAGATGAGGACTTTATGAAAGCTGTACGAAAAATAGCCGATGCTAAGAAATTAGAAACAAAATTAGACTATAAACCAGTCTAAATATAGGGATATATTATTTTGCATGCACATTGCTGACATATAAAAAAAGGTTATTCAACAAGTATTGATTTTCAATAAAACAAACTTTGTTTTATTAATCAACCTATTAAAGTGTTTAACCAATAATTACTTGTATATTTCAGTTGTTATGTTTTATATAATACAAGGTGAAATAGAAAATGTAATTTACTGGTCATAATTTCATTATTTTCGATCTAGATAGTGTAATCAAGTCGTATTGACTAATTAGGGCTTCGTCAGACAGTTTAAATGGTATTTAATATACGTTCTTTTCAGCAGAATGTTCCTGTGGGAATGACTAAATTAGAATTGTGTGCAAATATCCCATCCAATGTTGTGCTGAACTGATATGCTCAATAGACACAATGACTAGTCAAGATTATATAATATCTTTAAAATTTGTAAAGATATAGTAATCATTCAGAAGTACATCTACTGATGCTGTAGTGTGTGCTACTTATGTCAACGTATGTAGTTGGTATTTTTGAAGCGATTACGAGTTCACCTAATCTGAGAACGGAACGAAGACTCTGTGATATAATGACAGATAAGCCAGCTATTCTGACGCGTCGCGTCTCAGCCTCGCTAACTAGAGAAAAAAAGTCTAAGTTCGGAAAAGGGAAATATATTCCACAAGCAGCCAGAAGCACGAGCATTGAAAACAGGCGCAAATCAAAGTATATATACAGCATATGATTGTCCTTGGGATGCGTTACAAAATAGCATACCAAAAAATACAACAAACTAATAGCGTTTAAGATCCTCCCAAGTGGGAAATACGACATGAAGGTAGAAATGAGCGCTTTTGGCGCGAAAACAATAAATCCAAAATTTTAAAATAAAATTACAAAAATAAGGCATTTACCAAGTGAGTTCTGGGGATCTAACATCCTCAACAGTAGTATGTAACGCTAATCATGAATAGAATGTCTGCCAGAAGAAGGTTAAGAGAACGGGAACAGAAAACAATTAGTATGGAAATGCAGGAACAATGAAGTCTGAGACAATTAATGGACATTTTGCAAATGAAGTATTGGAGTATGGTTTTTCTATTTTATCAAGCACCTCTGTAGTTTTGTGCTAAATATAATCGGTCCTCACCTGTGCTCACTACATTTGGTATCGCTGTCTTCACTAAGAATGAAGATTCCTTCCCGAATGAATTTGAGAACGGAGATGTGCTGAGCTTTATGAAGGAGTTTGAAGCCATGGTGGAGCTGATGGGAGTGAAGGAGCCTAAGGCGAAGATGGTGGTGTTGGGGACGCTGCTAAGAGGCAGGACGAAGGTTGTATATGACAGCTTGGGCGGTTCTGGCGGGAGAATGACATCGGAGACAGTCACAAAGCGGTTGATCCCGGAGATCGACAGCCCAGTGGACAGAGAAGAGGCACTGCAGAAGTTCCAGCTAGCGAAGTTGTCGATCGATTGTGACCCACTGGTGCTGGCTGTGGAGCTTACCAGGTTGTTGCACCGCGCGCTGCCGAATCTGGATGAGTCGGAGGCACAGTTGTTGGCGTCGCAATTTATTAAGAACGTGCCGACCACCGTTTCCCAGCAGCTGAGACTAGTAAACGCCGCACGACCTATGGATATCAGTGAACTGGCGGTGACCCGAACAGGAGCTCCGGTCGGGTGCGCAAAGCAGGAGATAAATAATGTCAAAAAGATTGAGGAGCTGCAGCTTGATGTTGCGGCAATACGAGTGAATCATAAAAGGAACGATAGATGTTAAGCTTGTGGAGGGACAGGACATTGGAAGATAAACTGCCTAATAAGACGCAGATATTTTAGACGTTATAACGTGTGTTCTTTCTACCCTAGGAATCTGGGGTTTGTTGCACTAGTAGATAGAGGGGGCAGTCTACACAGGAGCGAAAATAAATAAAGGAGATTTAATGTGTTTGATCGATATAGGGGCAACGGTATCGTTAATAGGCAAAGAACAATGTAAGAGACTCAAGGCATGTACATTGGCAGTTTAGACCGTAAGAGGGCACATGTTAGGTGTTGGGTATGCCTAACAGCATCGTAAAAGTGGATGGTGCTGAGATAAATTCCTCGTTCGTAGTGACTAAAAGCCTATCGAGACCAATATTAGGAGCAAATTTCCTAAGAGAAGTAAAAGCAATAGTTGACTTAAGCGGTAGGATGGTCACACAGTACGGTTTATTCCCAATACATGAAAGTAGCGAAGTGGCTAAGATAAGAGTGGCAACAGACGTTTCAACGAAGGGACCAAACGTTAGCGAGTTCTGCACAAAGTACATGAAACTGCTCACTAGAGGCGGAGCCGTACGGATTTTGTGACAAAGTAAAGCACGAAATCCCAATAAAGAACAATCGAATAAATATATTTGCAACACGTCGTGTATTTAGAGGATGAGGTAAATCGACAGGTCCAGATGTTGAAAGAAGGTATAACTGATAAAGCGAATAGCCCGTATAACTCTTGGTAAAGAAACCAAATGAAAAGTATGGATTTTGTGTCGATTTTAGAGAACTGAAACCTTGTTCAATGTCTACAGTAGTGGAAACATTAGATTGGCTGCTAAATGATACGGTGTTCACAGTGCTGGATTTGCGGTCAGGTTATTGGCAACTGCCTACAATAAAAGAGAGCGAGCGAAACAAGATAGCATTTACTATAAGTGATGAACAGTATCAATTTAGACGAATGCCGATTGGGTTGGCGTGTGCCACGTTTACGTGCAGAAGATTAATTACGCTGCTGCTCAGGGATCTAGGTAACGTCGATGTGTATGGCGACGACGTAGCTGTGTACAGCTATACAGAAACATCACGCCAAGCATGTGGAAGCGGTCTTAAAGCGAATTGAAGAAGAATTTGGACTTCGAATTAATAGGGACAAGTCCCAGAGAGCGAAAAGTAGCGTCACGTTGTTGTGGCATAAAGTGAGAAATGGGGAAATAGAACCACAGCCGGAGAAAACCCTAACCATAAAGAACGTTGCAGTATCTAATTCAAAAAAGGAATTGAGAAAATTCCCGGGAAGGGTGGCATTCTACAGTCGGTCGTCAAGAACTTCAGTGACGTAGCAGCATCCCTATATAAGTTGTTGAGCAAGACAAAGTTTACATGGACTGAGGTCGCCCAGCAAACGTTCGACCGAATCAAGAACAATGCCAGGTGACCCTCAGACTGCATGAACCCGAGAAACTGTTTACAGTGGCCACAGATGCAAGTGATCATGGTATAGGTGTCATCTTGAGTCAGTCTAATAGAGTACTGGAATACATGAGTCGCGTTCTCACACCCACTAAACAGAAGTATTCAACGATCGAAAATGAATAATTAGCAATTGTGTGGGCAGGAGAGAAATCGTAGCCTTTGTGTACATGACCACATCGAGACTGACCATGAACCCCTGGAGTAGCTGAAAACAGCAGGAGACCCACGTAGAAAGTTGGAGGGATGGATAGCACTTCTGTAGGAGTACGACTTCAGTATCGGGCACGTTCCAGGAAAGGAAAACGTAATGGCGGACTTCTTGTCCCTGTTTTGAAAGTGACGAGTTTAAAGCCCATCTTAAGCAGTTTGGCATCAAAAGGATACGAATCACACCATATCAACCTCAGACAAACGGGCTTACAGAAAGAAACAACCGGACGTTAAAAGAATGGTTAGCCTCTAAAGGAGAAAATTGGGAGAGATACCATTGATTTTGCTGGCACATAGTGCCTCTATACAAGGAACATCCAAGAAGTCACCTTTCCTGCTTATGTATGGTAGACAGCCACCAACTTCGATGCATAATAAGACCTGGCCACAACAAAAGTGGACGAGAGGAGGAGGGCAATAAGGAACGTGGAAAATAAACAAATATCAGACACAAACAAGGAGGGACAACAGAGAACGTGGAAGCCTTTTGCAGTGAGGGAACTTGTAAAGTCTAGAGAACGGAAAGGTAACATAGAAGGGGGACCAGGGTCAGGAAAGCTGATCCTGAAGTGGGAAGGACCGTACATTGTCACGGAGAAACGTGGTTTGCTTTACACGACCCGGAGAGAAGACAAGCAGAAGCGCCTAAATGCCAGACAACTGCCGAGATGGTTTCAAGAGCATCATGAGTGCGAGTGAAGAACACCATCAAAGACAGCGGTGCAGCGACCAGGAAGATGCGAGAACAGTGTGGTGTGTGCCACTTATGTCGAAATATGTATCATATAACGCTAGTCATGAATAGAATGTCTGCCAGAAGAAGGTTAAGAGAACGGGAACAGAAAACAATTAGTATAGAAATACAGGAACAATGTAGTCTGAGACAATTAATAGACATTTTGCAAATGAAGTATTGCAGTATGGTTTTTCTATTTTATCAAGTAACTCTGTAGTTTTGTGCTAAATATAGTCGGTTGTCCTCACCTGTGTTCACCTTCACTACACTGCTACCGATGGTAGTAAGCTTGAGGGACCGTCTTATTTAAGATAGGATTATTAGGCCCGACATTGTTATTGTGATGTAGCAACCCCATTTATTTGACAATTGTTCTTATTGGTTACATCACTTTAAGAAACACTATAAATGGTAAAATTTAGCTGATTGTTTTTGAGATATATAAGCGTTGAAGTTTGGTGATGTACTAATCATTTAAACTTTCTACTCACATTAGATCTGATCTCAATATTTTTCGACTCATCAACTGAAATAATTCAGCTTAAGAATAACAGATATCCGATCAATGACTATGTTGTGACTACACAGGCATCTTTGATAAACAAGGAAATCAGCATCAAAACAGTATTTCATTACAAGCTATACTCTATGATAGGTTTGTGTTATATGGTCGAAAGGGATCACAATTTGCAAACAAATCATAGCACATTATAAAGTTGAAATAATTGATAATTATTTTAGTGTATTTCAATTTTCATGGTTATCAACTGAGCCTATTATCACGTAAATTATACGCGATTAAACTTATTGAAACATTGACTTAGTTAATTTGAAAAATAATCTACCAACTTTCAAAACATTTAGAAGAGATATTTCAAGTAAATACTGTTATTATACATTAATGATAATCTATTTACATTGTCGTATATGTTTATAATATTAGTTATTTTATTAGAATTGAATAAAATTAGAAAATACGTAGTTTTTTCTCTTTCATTTGTTTATTTTGCATATTTACAATAGTTCGTTCATTCTCTTTTAATTGTATCAATTGTGATTGTAAATCATTAACTCGTTGTTGTGCTTGTTTAACTGCTAAACGATCTCGTCCTTCATTTCTTCTCATTGAATCTTGAGCTTTAGAAATTTGATTATGTAATCGATTGATTTGTTCATGTGTATGAAATAGTTTACGTTTCAGAATACTTTCATTACAATTTGTAAGAGAATTCTGAGATGTTACGGTATTCTTTGTATTATGATTGTTATTACTATTAGGGTGTTTTGGATTTTGATCACTGTTACTGGATGTCGATGATAATGCCATATTAATTAGCTTAAAAACGCTTCCACTATGAGAAACATGGTTTTTTGATGTTTTACTTGACATTTCTATTGTTTTATCACGGCATTTAATATGTTTCACACGTTTTCGAGATAACACAACATTGTCTAGTGAAGGTCTATGATTCCACTTGACATTATGCACTTGATACTTTTCAAGGTTAGTGCATACAGGAGATTGACGACCTTGGTGACAGCGACCAAGTCCACCGTAACCTGGATAACCCATACTTGCTAATAAACGAGAGCCTATTCCTCGAGTATGTGCTTCCCAGTCACCAATGGAACTCTGTTTGTCTTCTTTATTAACATTGGGATATTCCTTATCGGTGTCTAAATTTGGTCGCTGGTCCGGTAAAAGCGTATTACCGAAGACAAATTGAACCCGTAAACGACGTTTATCATACTAGAAAAAAAAATCACGAAGAGGCTTTTTTACAACTAGAAAATATAACTCATATTAAATATGAAGAATATTATTTACAATATGGTTTTTTGTTACATAACGAATATCCTATATTCTTGGTGAGCATGCTTCACACTCGTAAAGTAGGACGGAGCAAACTGCTGTACATTATACTCGTTCTTTAGTAGGCAGACGGATATCTCACCTACAACGCAAGTGATGCAAGTTGGCAAAAGCCAATCGAGTGATTGTTTCATGTCCGCTTCAAATCTTCAGATACATGAAAACTTCACCGCAGTCTATACTCACTTTAGCGTGAAAGCCAATTTATAGTCAATGTCATGTACGGTGTATTCGGTAACTTCTAGTCCATACGTAAACAACTACAATTTCAAGTAATAGAAAAAAGGTCTAGAAATATAAAATGCAAAAAAACACATCAACAAACCTGCGAACATGATTGCGATTCAGTCGTCTGTCCACTACTGATCAGTTCGATGGAAGGCCGAGTATACGAAGTAGTAAGATCCAAATAATCACTGGAATCTTCCGAATTAGTAGTTGATGATGAAATATCACTAACTACAGAAACATCAGAGTCAATATCATCATCATTTTCTAATATATGGATACATTCTAGTGGCAAACTAGTTACTTTATCCTCCAAGTTTCCGTACGATTGACGCTTCACTGAATTCTTGTCAGGTTGGCTTTTATCATGACCCCATTCAACAACACAAGTGCCTGATTCAAAATCCGTTTGAAGAAGCCTTGCATAATGCCATAAAGAATTGTGATCATTTTTACGATCATTAGCTAGACATGGTTGACCTTCATGTAGATATTTTTCTGTGTCTGGTTCATACCATTCTCCAATATCCTTTGAGAAGAAAAACCATAATACATGATTACTTCACATTTGCATAGTTACAAAACTTCATATTTTGTGCGCATTAAGTAGCTGTAACAAAATTAGATGACACACATTTACTACGTGATTTAAAACGTAAATAAAGAAATCACAAATACAGTTTTATGGTATCAAATTAATTTGAAAAGACAGGATCCCTAATTGATCATCGCACTTCTAAATATGGCAAGTTGTGCGGGGTTTATGGTTTGATGCAGAGGCAGAAAAATACAATATACACTACAAACATTTATATCGCTAAAATTAATACAATTACAGAGAATGTAGATGTAGCTTTGTAATATATTTCTCTGATCCGTCAGTTAATCATACCTACCATTTTTAAATAATTAATAAATCAAGTAATCGAAAGAATAATAGTGTCTTAATTATATCTGAACTGTTCATACCAACCTAACTTGAGATAATTATTCCTGTACATTCGAATAGGAATGTACACTGAAATTAACTAGAAATAAACCAATGGGGAGTTCCGGAAATAGATTTACTGATGAATGATTAATTAATACATATTAGTAACTAAACACAGGTTTATGTACTCGGCTTTGACCCATACTGTGTGTAATGGTCAATGATATCAACCAATAGCCTAAGTAGACTAAGATTCAAACTCGGGACTTATCGTTTAAGAGTCAAGTCCTCTTAGAACTAAGCCATAGCTCAAAGTGTGATTTCTATTAACTAATTACAATGAGTATCATGCAAACAAGTAGACACAACTTAGGAACTTTTAAAGTTGCAGAGTACATTGTGCAAAACGGATAAACCATAAATTCGACACAAATACACCTGGGGTTAGTGACTAAAGATTGTCGAAAATAGGATTGAAATCATGAAAATCAAGTACATAATTTAAAAAACTAAAATTATTCTAACGTCAATCGAATACAGTGTCAAATGGGAATCAAACGCGTAACTTATCAAAAAAGTGCAATGATAACGCTTTATTTACTCACTTCAATGTTGAAAATCTTTCCATGAGAGCGAGTACAACGTATACCCCGATGACAGGTTCCAGTCTCAAAAAATCTTTCACAAGGTATTTCATTAAGACGTGTTGGATGAGCCAATAGTACTCGTACTCGATCTGGGCTGTCTCCATCATGATCCACAACTGAAAGGATTAGCGCATTTTGTCGAATAAATTTCCCAGATGAAGTCCATCCAGGAACACTGCAACGTTGTCCGACTAAAGACTCTTCATTAATTGTCGATGAATCTGTCTGAAGTGACGTTCCTTGTAATTCATCGTCTTTCTCTTGATTATCAGTAAGTATAGATCCAATTTCAGCTAAAAGTTGTGCTTTTCTACTATTCAAAAGCTCATTTTCTTTCAATTCAATCAACTCTTCCAAGTCTTTTTTTAGATTTAATAAATCAGAACACTTTAATTGATCATTTTCTTCTACAAGGCAGGTATTTATCTTATTAAGTGTTAGCTTCAGATTTTCAATCTCTTGTGATATTCCAGTGACTGACTGTAAAAAAATAATGCTATTCCAAAGTACATAATAATGAAATGAAATGATATATATATATATATATATATATATATATATATATATATATATATATGAACGCTAACACATGTGAGTTGTTCATCTATATGTGAATAAAATAGTACATTGAAATTGTACTCAAATAAATACAAATTTCCTTCTAGTAAACTTCAAGTCATTGCTTTAAGAATGTTAATGTTACTATTCAGCTGAATAAATCAAAGACAAGTTCATAATTCTGTAAATGGTTAGTGAGTTACATCATATGAAAGATTACTGAAGTGATTAGGACTGAACGAATATACATCCTATGTCATAATTAACGTGAAAACTTACAAGTGCTTGAAATACTGCAATAAGCAATTTGAAAAGTTTTCTTGAATGTACTAATATTGACGTATAACTGTTATCAAGTGATAAATTAAATGAAATCTATACAACTCAACTTCTTAATCATATATATATATATATATATATATATATATATATATAATATTACTCTATGATAACGGTACTGTTGGTATGATAAACGATTTATAAATGTTAATAACTCAATACTAACTAGATAGAATCATTGGTGAAATGATTTATTTCACAATAATATTGTATAATGAATTTTCGACTAGATAATCAAACATCCAATCACAAGTCATATAATATAATTTTACTTCTGTTCGTTATTTAACAATTGAACAATCACTAATTATTTCATTGAATCGTATGAAGAGAGATATACACATATTTACTGGAATATTATTACTATAGTAATTGAATTTTCTTTTTTATTACTATTATCGAAATCAATCATGAACCTAACAGAGATATTTGATCATCTTAGAATATAATTGGATGATCGACAAGGTCATCTTAGTAAATGATATGCATACACGTACAAATAGTATAATAGAGAGAAAGAGAGAGATAGGCCACAAAAAACTTATGTAGGATAAAAGTAATAACAATAATAATATAAACGAGAAATCAAAAACTACACATGATATAGTAAATAATTTATCTATTAAACACAAAACAGATTACAGTGTTAGATTAAAGGTGATAGTAATAATAATTATCATTATCACTATCATAATAATAGTATATACACATACATAGTTATATGAACAATAGAAATAAACGCATCAATGAAATAATACTATTTGTTGTACATAAATATATTTATATATACATAGAAGAGAATGTAGACAGTACTAACGAATGCAAACTACCATACATAGATACAAACAAATTCAATTATTGTTTCTATTAATTTCATTAACATTATCGAATATAATAGAAGAATATGAACTTTGTATATGCACACACATACATAAAAGTGATGAAAAATTAGATGTAAGAAGAAATATGAGTAGATAGTGATTAGTTATATAAGTAGATAGAAAAATAACATTCAATCAACTTATACAATACAATAGTGAATAGAAAGAAAATCCTTAATAAAAAAAATTAACAAATAGAATATTATTTATACACAAAAACACTAAACTTCAGTGATGAGAAAAGAAGAATAATAGTAATTTATATATAAACATTTATATGACACTTTGAAAATTCTCATTGTAATGTTATGTATATATATATATATATATATATATATATGTAAAATATAAAATGCTGCATGGTAGTGCATAACGTACATACACAACACTGTACAACTTTATTTATCAATGGATATTGGTGTTTGAAATATATATCTAGAAATTGGCAAAAAAAAAAGAAACAATGAATAAAATAAATGAATTATAGGAAATAAAAGTTTATGCATTGTGTTATGAAGTAATAAGGGGTAAGATGAAGAAAAAAACATTTAGATTACTGAGAGATGAATTCGAGAGAAAACTCTCTTTTTTTTAAAAAAAAAAATATATATATACCAACTCCTTCTGGAACCCTCTGAGGCTACTACCGGTCTCAAGCCTGGGTAAAGGAGGAGGGTTGATTATGGGGTTAACGACCCCACCTCGTAGGAAACTAACTCACTAAAAAAAGGCTAACCAGGGAAAAAATAATTCGAACCATTTAAAATCTGCCCTGGGAATTAGAAAGTCTTCATTTAGAAGAGTTATAACGCCTCATGGTGAAAGCCGAGTTCCTTCGGAAGTCATCAGGCTGATGCCTTTTCTGACAACCAAAACAACCAATAATTTAGGTACATGGAATGCTCGTACAATGTAGGAGACCGGGAGAATCTTCCAAATAGCTGCAGAAATAAATAACCTTGTGAACAACAATACAAGTTCACTATTAACTATCTTATGTATATACGAAATCTTAAAACTAATATATTTCAAATGTAACTGTCAACTTGATGTGATTAATGGGTTTCCTTATTATCATAAATATATATATCATATTGTTGACTAGAACAATTGTTTTGTTGATTGGAGACTAGTGTAATAAGACAGAAAACTTACGGTACTATATAGAGTAAAGACGTACTCATTATTGATTGACATTGAGATTTTTTAAACAAAATTCTCCAACAATACAACCTTTTCAAAAATGGATTAAGAGGTAAGGAAATGTAAGCCTGGAAACATTACAATCTTTTTGTTATCGATTCACAATGAAGACAGATGGGCTTACAAGGGCATAGATAATACAAAAATAACAACAACAAAGGCGAGACCCTAATTTGTGGACGACTTTTGAACGAATTTTAAGTGACCTTGAGCGTATTGGCCAATCAGCGAACAGTAAGTATGGAGTAAAAATATATTATACAAAACCAAGGAAATATAGTGGATACACTTCTTATACGTGGTTCAAAAGCTTGCCAATGTTAGAAAGAGGTTCAGAGGTTCTGAAGTCGCAATGCATGCAGTAGAGGAAATCATCCAAACGACCACAGGATAGTCGGTCTCCGGAGCCATGATAAGGTCTCAAAAGCTCTCAACCTCGATAACTTAGTTTTAATATTGTTTATATGCACTTCGGTTGTTGAGTACACAAAATGCTACTTGTCGATAACGACACGATGCACATAACCAAACTATGTAGGAGTCTGTAGGTTCTCCAATCATCCTTATATAATGTAGTACCTGGCTGCAGCCAGTGTTACTGGTACTTTTATTATCCAGTTCGCGATAGTTGTCAGTTAGGAACTATATATGGGGGTTTTCATCACAAACTGACATCACCTATAATGCCAGAAATCTATTTAGCCAAATGGATGAAAGGCTTTCGTGCCCAAATCCGAGATCTGTTATCTTATAACTGATTGATTCGTCCACGAATTATAGTCTCGCCGTCTTATTCGTTATAGCTGCTCAATTATTACGTTTTGTACAAAATTCCTTGTGAACCCATCGTACGTTAGCACTAAGCACTGATTTTTCACAAGAGTAAAACCGTGACGGTTGGCGCCGTAACCTTGAAATCCTTCAAACGCCTCTGATTGGCTCGTCCATAAATTAGAGTCTCGCCACAACAAAAAAGACAAATTCGAAAAAATGTCGTGTCATCTGTCTCAATTATTTGAACTTAGAATTTGTTGGTCACGATTTAGAGTTTTGCGGTCACTAATACACAGCAAGTGTTTTTTTTTTAATTTCAGAACCGGGAAGTGAAGACAGTCCGAGGATTTGTATACAGGCTGCCAGTAAATAGTGATCTAAATTCGATCAAGACAGTAATTTAATCAATGATCATCAGTAAAATTAATTAGGTAGTAATGTGTGGGTTTAGTGACCGGTTGCAATAGGATTGCATTTCCTGATGTCGTTACATTTTCTTTCAGATTAGATATCAAGACTATGAGGGCTCGGTGGACAGTATAGTGTCTCTTACATAAATCATTTTAAATATAAACTTTAAAATATCATTATCAAACGATTCAGCTTTTGATTGTATACTGAGACACATATCATACGTTGTAATTTTAAATGGATTTCAAAAAGAACTAGTGAAATACATTTTAAGTACTAAATATGGAAAGAAAACATACCTGGAAATTCATAACTACCGAATTACGGAATAGTTACTGGTTCCACCATTACATATATTTCCTTGAGAACTCGTTCCTGGACAGTTGTTTGGTGAATTTTTAATTAGGGAAGTTAGTGATTTCGAGCCTCTAGTGATTGCAACGTTATTTCGACGTCGAACTTGTCGGACTATGGGATTATGGGTCGGATACCTTCGTGAGGATCTTCGTAAGGTAATTGGAGTAGATAAAGTGTTGGAATCCAAATTGGTTTTCGATGATGATGGAGACAATGATTTACTAGAGCTGTTGGGACTATCTTCTAGCTCTTCAATTAGATTATGAATTCCAGGACTGAAATGATGTACTAAATTTTTGGTGACCGAACTTATCCTCTGAATAGAGTCCAATAGGTATTTTTTACGTTGAGAAATCCCTTTGATCAATTCAATAGCTACATTAAACTGACTAGCCATCTCGGATTCATCTGATTTTAATCCAGACTCTATAGATTTTGCTGTTTCACTAACACCTTGAGATACACTAAGAAGTGATGAAGTAACACTCTGAGTAGAAATGCAATGTAGCTGGTCAGTTAAATCGGTCTCCATATTCTTTATGGTTTCTAGTGTTTGCAACTCTGTGTATGCCTAAAACCACGGAAACGGAATCTCTATTAGCAAAAAAGATTAATAAAACTTGGCTTCAATTGATATGCAAGAAATGTCACTCCCAAACTAACATACAGACATAAGGAAAGGTTATCTAACTGTGTATGGATACTAAAGATGCGACTTAAATGAAACTATGTCTCGAGCGAAAAAAAGAGTTAAGGAGAGAAGTGGTGAAATTTATTTCGTTTATTTTGGTTATTAGATATGAATACTAGGCTGACTGCATCGATATTGAGGACTTAATAGATAGACATTGACGAATGACGATTATGTGAAGAATATGTTAAACAAACAAGATTGGGTAAAAACTTCATTTAAAATACAACTTTGTGTGACCGACACGCTCAACTACTTCAACCCCTCATGGGTGGTCCTGAGGTACTATTTAGAGTTAGAGAAATCCATCCAGAATATTTTGGATCACTTAAACTGCGCAGATGACAAAATATTTTGGATCATGTAATGATGGACATAGCATTTATAACTGACTTAGAACTTAGATAGTTTTATCTCAAACACATCATCGACTTAATCGTCCTTGAACGCAGTTCGAAGAGATTTTATAGCTACATTTTTCTGCGAACAGTAGGATATAAACAAAAAGGTTACTTTCAGTATGGTATAAAATTTGCAAACAAAAGTATCATCTTATCCTATCAATTAATAAACATTAAGAATGACAGAACTTGGAACAACTTTAAATGGTGTAAACAGCAGAGACAATGATTGGAAGTAGAAAATTTTACGTGTTGAGCTACGAGCGAAAGCCACTGGTAGATTTAGATTCAAATTAATAGGTTACCTTATGAACTATTGAAGTATATACTTCTACACAAAAAAAAGCTGATTTGTCTGACAAACATTTCAAGACGAATTATAAAATCAAGACTTTCAATGATAACACTTACCAATAAATCCAAATTGTCAGCACAACGAAGAACACGCCAACCTGTAATATCCAGCACTGATGTAGTGGTCAAAGGAAATCTAACAAAACCAGAATCTTCTTGCTCAGCGCGTACCGCTAAAATATCTTGCACTAAACGTTTCGCTTCATTTGACTCAGAATTAGAATTTAAACTATTCATATCTCTCTCTCCTTTACTCTGAATGTCAGATTCGGAGTGTGACATATTCGTGCCAGTAACCAAAGAACGACGTCTGCGGCGAGTATTCTGCACACCACGTCGTGAAGAATCATCAGGATTGGCAGACTTGTGTTGTGGTCTTGTGCATATTTCAGAAAGACTAGAATATATGAGAAAGACAAGTTTATAATTCAAAAGATATGAAGGCAGAAAAAATTATTCATAAACAATATTTTTAAAAATTCAATATGCGTGCTTTGGAAATTAGTCTCGTACTATCAATATTAAAGAAAGCCTCCCGCTCACTCATGAAATCCTGACAAGAAAAAGTTAAGTACACGCTTGGAAAAACATGCTGTCTACCAAAAACCTTAAATGAAAATTTTCGACAGATAAAAAGTGTAGAGTTTGTAACAGTTTACATTGACTTACTACATATCAGTATATCGAAAAGAAACCAACAGTAGCAAAAAACAAAGCGAAAGAGTAATGGCGGCAGTAGTGAAGAACCACAGTAAAAACGAAATGGACGAGACAAATGGAAACTGGAAACGTAGGATGTAGAATAATGTGGTGTTTAGGACGTAGAGTAAAATGATTTAATACCATATCCTTGCAATTCCCAGCCATAAAACCTGCACCTCCTCGTATACAGTGACTTCCAAACCCTAAGGTGGAATCCTCAAGGCAAAAGGAAATGAAGTGGACATCAAAAGAATGAATAGCACTTGGAAGCAACTGGATAGGTGAATCCCGGTCTGTGGTTTATATCCCACGAGGGGTAATAAGCGTAAGAAAGTAGAGTAAATCTTCATGAACTGACATATTTATGCCATTCTGAACGCCACTAAATTTTCATTCACCCCTTCTATGTAAGCCTGCACATGACGTGATGACTAAATATAAAAAATAAATGCCCTACTCATAATAGTTAATGAACAATTACATCCCTATTAGTTAACTTTCAACTTTAGGTTACACTAAACTCGGCATAAGTATTCCTCATTGGGTGGTTTCATTATATGTGAGCAATAATTTTGAAGACAATCAGCCTAATGTGAAATGTAATACCTTGCACCAATAGACAATTATTCTAAGTCCCATGTGGTTTAAAATTAACTAAGTGACTAGTAAATTCAAAAATTCTGACCACTTACTCAAAGATGATCATCAAAGAAAATAAGGGTGTAGTTGTACTCTTGAATTTGATTAAGATTTAGTCATCAAACATCAACCGATATTTTTACATCTATGACCCCTACGTACGTACGTTAGATCGAGTTGCCATACCACATTAGCACAGAGATGCAGTTGTCGATTCAAATCCCGTAGTGGTAGAGGTAGTAAAAGTATAAACAGTAATCGGAAAGATTAGGGTTTGAAGATGTTATTCAAAGAGTATAATCCAGTGAAATAAATTTCGAAAGAGAAAAAAAGGGATATGAAGAATTCGGAAGATTAGAATTTGGGAGAACACAAAGAGTGGATGCACCTGCACCATTGCAAACGATTTTCAGCCATGTCATTCAAGGTCTCTAACCATCGCTTGTTATCGTCTCGCGGATCCCAACCAGGTAGTCTACACCCACCAACGTGGCTTAGTCCACTCGTCAGTGACTTCCTACATTTGTGCCATGTTTTGGTCTGGCCACCCCTAGCTTTCGTCCAACCTACTCCCCTACACCATAAAACATCGCACCTCGGGGCAGTCGGTGGTTGGGCATACGTAACACGTGTCCCAGCCATCTCAACCAATGAAGTTTCACTACTTCGTCAATTGATTTGCCATCTTTACCTAGTACCTGTTTCCCAACAACTACATTACTTACTTGGTGGTCCCAGCATATACGAGCAATGCTTCGAAAACACCTATGAGTTAAGATATAAAAATGTTATAATTATTAGTTGATAGAATTTTATGGCTCCCGAAGCTTCAAGGAGTGAAGGAAAATTGAAATTTGTGACTTGAATATAACATTTGAACTTTTATACAATTATCGAACGAATTTAAAAATCCACATCGTCTATCACGACACACATTTTTGGTGGACGATCTATGAGAGGAACTCTTATACATAAAAAATAACAGTATTATCAAAACACGAAAATATAGGATATCAAGCAATTAAAACTCACCTGAGAAAGTGAGAGCTCTTAGAACGACAAGGAACACTCAACCTACTATTTGACAATCCGCACTTTGGATTGATTAAAGGCCTTGTAGGTCTTCCATTAAGTATCCATTCACGACCATCAACAGGGTCTACAGTCCATAATATACCAGCTTTTGATAGTTTATTGCTATTGTGAAGATCACTTTTAATGGTAATCTCATCAGCCTTTTGACATTCATTTGGTTCCTGTTCACCTTTAATTTTCTTACGTGGTATATTGTGAATAGGTACGGTCAACTGTTTTTCGTTTAAAATTTTACTATCACAATCAGTGAAGTCATTGTTAAGGTCAGAATTATCTCTGCTGGTAGTAGGATAAAAGCAAGTGTGTTTTTCATTTGAATTCAAGTAGCTCCCAACATTAATTTGTTTTGAATCATCTATGTTATTATGTGACCATGAATTTGAAAGAGATAACTCAGAATGGGTTGAAATTGAATCAGACTTCTTCAGATCTGTATTATTCATATGGCTAGCATCAGCCGTTGATTCATTTTGAGATTGTTTCAAGGATGAAACTAGGTGATGTAAAAGAGGATTCGATTCAGAAGCACATCGGAGTGGTTTACTAGTCGGATTAATAAACTTTGAATCTTCGGAAACTGACTTAGAAACCTAGAAAAGATATTTCACAAATTTAGTAGGTTCATTCCACACAAGTTTTACGAAAGTACAATGTTGTAAAGCATTCTATTTTATCAGGTATATCAGTCCCTGTAAACCTTATTGTACTCTTGCAAACAACAAATATACAAAAGAACTTTGGATATTGATAATATTCTGAAATTTATTTTGTTAAAGTACCAACACGCACATAACTTTTAGGTCATTAAAAATACCTGAGTTTTAGTTCAACTTACATCGGATATTGAATGTAGGCTAGTTGAAAGAATATTATGATTAACAACTTGCAAACTTTTAGATTCTTGGTTTTCAGCCATGACAGTAGGACTAATATTTGGTTGTGGAGATCTAAATCGTACCTGAAGAACACCGTTTGTTGATCCAGAAACTACAACTGGACTGATGATACTGGAAGCAGAACATGTTGACTCACTTCCTGAATTAGAGTTCGACGAAGTAACAGTAGTAGTGCTTAGAATCGGATAAACAGAGGTGGTTAAAACATACACCGCAGCGGCCTGTGTTTGATGAATATCCGAAGACTGTGAGCAATGTGAATTGGTGATACGAAGGTGTCCACCAGAAGATACGATCTGTGATGGAGATGTGACCATAATCACTGAATTATCACCTGTACTCCCACGGGTCCCAAGACTCCCAGTAGATGACTGAAAACAGGTAGTATTTAGTAAAATAGAACTGTTATTGGGAACAGAAGTAGTTGGGGTAGAACGTACCGACACTAAACGTATACCCATAAGTCCGCTGTTGGATGGACTGACGTTAGTTGCACAGCTGACGGAAATGGTTGCTGATGTATTCTGTAGAAAAATAAATAAACAACTTTCTGATTAGTTTGTATAGAAACCAATTGAAAACATCATAGGAAATAGTTGTGACCGCTTCGTCCAATATGTGATGTTTACAAAGAGTAAAAAATCAGTAGGAATTTGAATGAGGGAAGTGGATATTGTCGGGAGAACGTAAAGAAATGTGTCTGAATTTCCCCAAATGAACAATAAGCTATAAATCTGTAGACGACTAGTTCAAAAACATTCAACTCGGCAAGTTAAATTGTCATACTAAATAATGAATGTGGATAAATTTATTAATCACCTAACTTGGTTACCTGAAAACTATAAACGTAATGTCGGTAGCAGTCACCATGATTAATCAAAATACTGGTACTACTTGTTATGACTGCGGACATTACACTTTATATGTTACGGTATGATGGAACGAAGACTGATAATGCTCGGCGCAAGGAAGAACAGTGTTATAACTTGTGGCCTGTGTGCCCCGTTAATGTATAACGTAACAATACCGCCAGTTTGAGAGTAGTGAATTATCGATCGGACCAATGACGCGTTAAACCCGTGCGAGTAGTCTAGAGTCCTTATTGGTTCTGATTTCCGCTTAGCCCAGCCAATTAAGTTCAGAACACTAATCTCAGCCTCTGCGATATGAATCATTTATTTAAAGCATACTCGGTTTATATACCAACCAGACAGACCACATCGTACAATAAAATAGGAAACAACATTTATACAAGATTTGGCCAAATGTGGCTGTGAATGTGGCAGGTAGTAATTCATAGACAGGGCATAATTTAAGAATGGTAAATCGTATAATAATAGTTCATAGGTCAAAATAAGGCTCATAATAAGAGGGACAAGAATATGAACAGTCTAGTTATTTAAAAATTATACGATAAAAGTATACGCATAGTATCGGTTCATAAATGGATCGCAAAAGTTACCATTCATTATGCCTATCGGGGCATAACAAACAGTAAGAGAGCAAATGAAAAGTTTACCGTAAACCAACCACAAATTCCCAATTGTTCAAAATAATAAAAACCACAATAAGCTATATTTCGTTTATTTATCTGGCCATTAGTTAAACCTGAATACATCAAACTGGAAGTAGTTGACATTCATTAATCAATAATTTAGTGTAAGTATTACTTACTTAAATTGTCAAACGCTTTCTCATAGTCAAGGAAGTCAATGTATAGTGAAGAATTCCGTAGGGTTGCGATTTGATCTATGCATGACCGATCATTATGGAATCCTGCCTGTTGATCTCGATGTTGGACGTCTACTGAACCTTTCATTAGGTTCAGCAACACTCTGTTGTAAAATTTTGCTGGTGCTGATAGTAGTGTGATACTTCTGTAGTGCAGTGTAATGTATACAATTTATAATATCGATAAATTAACAACTTCATCTACAGGAACTATAAGTTACGACCAATGTTCCAAATTAAGACATCTAACCATGATGTATGCAGATCAGTTATTGTTGGATGTTCAATACATTAAGCGATGTAAGTGAACACGTAGAAACTACAACTGTTAGTGTTTGAGTCAAGATTTAGTCAGTAATCAGAACAACCACGAACAACAGAATATCTACAGCAAGAAATTTGTGATTAGCTATTTTAAATTCGGATGGCACATCTCGGTAAGCTTAGAAACACATGGATAAGTGACTTAATCGGTGAAAAAATTAGCGATGGGTACAGCTACGGAGAAGCTCAATCATGATAAGATATTACCTTTAGAAAGTTTACAACTTAAATTTCACATACTACTAGTAAACTGACCTGAGAGCTCTGTCAGCCATCCCAGATGTCTACCGGGGTTAGAACAGCTGATCAATTAGCTAGTAGTCATCAAGGTAAGGCCTGAAACGAACGTGTATGGGATGAGGTTACAGCAGGGAAGGAAAGCTTCAAGATAAGAAGCAAAAGAGGGAACTCAAATTTAACATTAATAAATATCGAAACATGGAGGGGTTATGGTTCAAAAGGAAGAAACAAGAGCAAAGAATGGAGATTTAAGAACAGCACTTAATACTTAGAAGATAGACAATGAATGCAACAACTGGATCGCAACTAACTTCACTCCATGATACTTAACACCCCACCCACCCATTGATTACGGGTAGATGATTAAAATTCTGGTGAGAAGCCGCGATCAATGAACTTCAACAGAGTTGGAAGTGAGATAGTTACTTTCCGATGACATCCTATTTTGGTTTGAAACTTAAATGACTGAATTTCAACTCAACGCTTGGTATGAGACCTAACAGTCTTGGATTCAGTCGTTGACAGAGTCGTGAGTAGGTACTAATGATGCTGATTCAATACGAAAACCGTCTCAAAATAATGGCTAAAACTCTAAACCACTTAACCAAGAAATATTACTAATAAATTAGTTAATAAACTATAGAAAAACCATTTTAGTGGGTGTTTATGGACGTAACCCAGTAATCGAGTCCAGGTTTGTGAACTTTCCGACTGGTTGTATAAATTAAAAAATGTGAAGCTGAACTTCAAATTAAAAGTTAATAATTAACAATAAAACACTTTACATAATAAGCAATCACTCCGCTATGAAATGTCAACAACTGTTACAAACATCATACTGTGGGTGAGCTAATATGCGAACGAACGTAAGTAATACGCAGCAGGAATCGGAAGTAGAATGCTTACCAGCAAAAGATCGAAATAAAAAGGAGGAACAAAAACAGAGAGCAATCGGAATAACAACAGGATTGGAAGAATGGAGTATTTAAAGGATAACTCAATGGAAATTTGCAAATAATGTATTTAATGTGTAATTTCCATATTTTACAAAGGCATTGTGTAACTTAGCATAAAATAATAAACTGGCTTTCCCCACCATATTTTCGTTCATTGCAATACTATTAGAAATACTCAAACAAATCTAACAGCTTTCTAGCTTACCCGATAAACAGAATCCACTGATACAGGACCTGATTTAGTAGAACTTCCTGAGATCTGTGGTGAATGTGTCACTTGACAACTGTACACAGGTTGTGCAAACTGATGTGGTTGGATAGTTGGTTTAGCCATGGCAACCAGGGTAGGTGTTGATGGTAAAACGCTGCGACATCCAGACACTACAGAATTTAAACTGGAAGGATTTACTAGACTACTCATACTGACAGCAGTTGATGTAGTCGACGAGACAACCGAAACTGGAGTAATCATTACAGATGAGAAAGATGAAGCGAGTTGCTGCTTACGTGCTCTCTTTCGACTGGGCTGAGAAAAAATAGATGAAGTCGGGAGGCGATGAGAACTAATGCAAACAGAGTTATTCTGAGAAAAATTTGAACGGGTATGAGATATTGAAGAAGTTGAAGCAGATATTGATGGTTGTAAAGGAGTTAATTTGGCTGGAGCAATATTGACCGGTAAAATATGCGGTACCACAGATGTGCTGGACGAGGTAGCAGATAATCCCGTGTTTCCGCTTAAGTTGAATGGTTTTAAAAGCGATGTAGGACCCATAACCGTACTAGTATTTGGTACATATCCAACTGCTGAAGGTCCACTAGCCTATATGTCACAGAAAAATTTAAAAGTTAATCAGGTATAAACCATCGACAATTAACAAAGTATTGAAGGTGTGTGTGTGCGTAACTTTCATAGTTTGTAGCTATATGCTAACGATATTCTGACAGCATCCAATGTAATAATACTGTTTCAACACAGAGGACTTTTACATTCTATTGGTCGTTCAGTGTTATAGTAACGGAAATAATCAGTCAGTCAGCTACAACGTAAGACCAGGCACACACACATCCATCGGTACAAGTTGCCACACCTCATTAGCACAAGCTGAACACAAAATTCATAGTAGATTCAATGGTGGTAATATATAAAAGAAAGATTGCATATTAGGATATAGTGTAGGAAGAAAGAATAATTTGGTAGAAAGATATAATCCCATAGTTTAAGTGAAAACACAGAGTGCATACACCTACGCCATTGTGATCGATTTTGAGCCATGTTACGCAGTCTCTAACCATTGGTTACGATAATCAAGCAGACTCCAACCAAGTTGTCTGCATCTAACAACATGGCTCAGACCAGAAGTTAGTGACTTTAAGCACTGATTCCACGTTTTGGTTTGGCCGCCTCTAACTTTCCTCCAACCCACCCCAACACTAGTCAGGATTGTGCGTCATGATAATCGGTGTACAGACATACGTATAAAAGTGATTGCTTTTCCTGAAATATTTCAAGTCAAATGGGAAACGGAAGCCGAGCTCGGGTTTTATTTTTGTTGGTATCAATTGACAAGACACATTTTTAACCACTAATGGAATCTATTTTTGCACCACTATTAATTCGTACGATCAGATGTAACACTGATTGGCACCTCCTCCCGACCGTTGTTGCTACCTTGACGTGGTGGTCGGGCTTGCCTATCGTGATGAAGCAACCGAGCTATACTGGCTGGAACAACCGTTCCTCAAGGTCCTACCATGTCAGACAGGTCGGTTGAAGAGCGGTAAGACTAAAAGCAACAAACCCAAAGTCCGAAGGCGAAGTCGTACTGCTGACTGTACAGAGGTGTGACAGCAGTAAGGCGTTTCGTTCAGACAACCAGCATGACGGCGATGCTGCCTTCCCACAAGGAGGGGTGGGGTTAGAAAAGGTCGACCCTAAAAATGCACACCTCACCTTACCTCACGGATTTCCGTCTCCGGCGGTAAGGCCCTTTGAAGAACGGAGCTAACACGTCAAATACCTCCCACGGAAAGGCCGTGCGCGACCGGCCTCAAGCAGTTGTCCCTTGGGCACTGCGGTCACGCTCTCAGGTCACTGAGACCACCTCTAATCCAATTTCCTTTTCAGGTACCTCCAGAAGAACCCTTCCTCGGTGTGGGCAACCGGGAAGTGATAACCTCCCTCATACCTCTAACAGCACCCAAGACCACTGTATTCATAATCAATCTTCCTCTTCAATTCCTATTATTCCTCCTACATCGACTTTCAACCCTAAACTTCCTCCTTCGGCTTCCTCCTCAAGTGTCACCATAGCCAACGATTCTAGTGCTCAAAACTCTGTCCCAGGTCTACTGAAACCTCGCTCCAAACTACACATTGGAGCTTCAACGTACGCACTCTATGTCAAATCGGTCAGCAGGCTTCCTTGGCTAAAACCCTAGAGTCTCTTTCCATTGATGTATGCTGTGTCTCCGAAACACGCATACAGGATTCCAGTGTGGTCATTCACTTGACCTCACCTCGGCAAAACGGATAGCCAACGAGATACACCCTACGTGTATCTGGTGACCCGATGGCCAGTTCTCGTGGATCCCCGTCAACAGTCGTCTATGTGCTGTTCGGCTAAACGGCTCCGTAAAAAGTCGGAAGGATAGGGGCACACGTCGTTGCCTTTTCTTCGTTTCTGCCTACGCTCCCACTGACTGCAGCTCAGATGATGTGAAAGATGAATTTTACAGAAAGCTGTCCGAACTTCTTCAGAAAGCTAAACGTTCAGACATAGTACTCATAGGGGGTGACTTTAATGCTCAGATAGGTAGCTTAAACCAAACAGAAAGGCATTTAGGTGGATATTTTAGCATTCCAGCACAGCGAACAGATAATGGTGACCGTCTGCTGCAACTGTGCTCAGACAATCGCTTATTTTTAGCAAACACAAATTTTAAGCATAAGAAGAGACATCGTCTAACGTGGCGACCGCCTGCACCAAACCAACGATGGACTCAAATAGACCATATTGCCATCAGTCATCGTTGGAGAGGGTCGGTACAAGATTGTCGCTCATTCTGGAGTACCTGCTTGGACTCCGACCACGCCCTAATACGGGCACGCATCTGCTTGCGCCTCACTGGACGCAAAAAAGCCACAGTAAAAAGACCCATTAGAACCGAACTGAGTAGCGAGGAAACCAAAAGTAGGTTCCAAGAACAACTGAGGTCACGATTAGGTAGTTCTGAAGACGAGGCTGACCCAGATGTTGCTTGGAATGAAATACAGGCAGCTGTGGAAACAGCAGTGACATCTATTAGCGACTTAAACCACAGAGTTTCAAAGAACCAGTGGATTTCTTCAAAGTCTATCACACTGATGGATTCTCGCAAACTCGTCCCATCAGGTTCCGAACATGATAAAGAGCGACAACAAATCAGATCTAGGTTAAGAAAAAGTCTAAGAAACGACCGTGAGCAGTGGTGGGCAACGAAAGCAAAAGAGATGGAAAAGGCGGCGACTATAGGGAACACAAGACAGCTTTACAGGCTAATAAAAGAAACTGGAATTAATAAGTCAAGTGTGAGATTATATCAGAAAAAGACGATACTCTCATCTGCTCCCAGTCCAGGCGTTTAGAACGATGGGCGGAACATTTCAGAGAACAGTTCAGCTGGCCTTCAGCTACTCTACAACTACCCTCCATTCCCAGACAGTGTGAATGGAACATTGAAGTAGGTCCCCCAACTCTTGCTGAAGTTCAAAAGGCTATAGTTAATCTGAAACGAGGAAGGGCAGCTGGTCCAGATGGACTGGCTCCAGAGGTCTTTAAGGATGGTGGTCCAATTTTAGCGATTAGGTTGACTAATATTTTAGCTAAGATCTGGGAGTTAGACGTTATTCCATCTAACTGGTCACAATCACTTATCGTCCCAATATATAAGAAAGGGTCAAAATCATCCTGTGACAAACACAGAGGGATTAGTTTAACTAATATAATATCTAAAATACTAGCCTCGATAATTATCAGACGCCTAACTAAGACTCGTGAACTGCAAACACGAGAGAACCAAGCTGGCTTTAGACCTGGTCGTGGCTGCATCGACCACATATTCACCATTCGTCAGATTCTAGAACACAGGCATACTTATCGGCATCCGACAATGGTAGTCTTTCTTGACTTAAAAGCAGCATTTGACTCGGTAGACCGCGAGATTCTGTGGCAGTGTCTGTCATTGAAAGGTGTACCCCAGAAGTACATAAACCTTGTAAAGGCTCTTTACTCGAACACTACTAGTCGAGTCAGAGCTTATGGCGAACTGTCATCTACTTTTGCAACCTCAAGTGGTGTCCGTCAAGGCTGTCCACTTTCCCCATTTTTGTTTAACTTCATCATAGATCTACTGATGGAAATAACTTTCTCATCGACTGAGTTCTCGGGTATTGATCTCCATCCAGGAGGTCCACTTATCGACTTAGAATACGCAGATGACATAGTCCTGTTTGGTGAAGACGCTGACAAAATGCAGTCTCCTAGTAGCACTGAGCAACAATGCCAGGATGTTTGGAATGCGCTTCTCTCTCTCTCTCTCTCTAAATGCAAGTTGTTGCTTCAGGACTGGTCTGCGTCAACACCTGAACTAAGGATAGGGAGTGAAGTAGTCGAACGCGTTGACAACTTCACTTATCTTGGAAGTCTGATCAGCCCTAATGGGTTGGTATCGGACGAAATCTCAGCACGGATTCGAAAAGCTCGATTGACTTTTGCCAACTTGCGTCACCTATGGCGAAGGCGAGATATCCGTCTATCAATAAAAGGACGAGTATACTGCGCGGCAGTCCGTTCTGTTTTACTTTATGGCAGCGAAACATCGCCATTGAAAGTAGAAGACACTCGTAAGCTACTAGTATTTGACCACAGATGTCTTACAAATATTGCTCGCATCTGCTGGGATCACCGGGTAAGTAATAGTGAGGTTAGACGCAGGGTATTAGGGAATGATGGTAAATCAGTTGATGAGGTTGCGAATCTTCATCGACTGAGATGGTTGGGTCACGTGCTGTATGTCTGAACACCGACTACCACGACGTGCAATGCTATCCGGTATTGGAGATGGTTGGAAGAAAGTTAGGGGCGGCCAAACCAAAACGTGGCATCAGTGCTTGAAGACACTAACTTCTAGTCTGAGCCATGTTGGTAGATGCAGACTACTTGGTTGGGGTCCGCGTGACTATCGTAAGCAATGATTGGAAACTCCTGGTGACATGTCTCAGGATCGATCACAATGGCGTCGGTGTTTTCACTCTCTGTCTTCCCTTAAACTAAGAGATTAAAATCGCCTCATATCTTAATTTCTACGAACCAATTCCTTCTCCCTGTACTATATCCTCATATGCAATCTTTCTTTTATGTATTGCCACATCTGACCTAACCACTGCTGTGAATCTGGTGTTCATCTTGTTGTGCTGATGCGGTATGGCAACGTGGACCGATGCACATATGTGCCTGGTCCTACGTTGTAGCTGACTGACTGACCTCCCACAGAGTGACTAACTTAACATATATCTTAAACAGAAATACATCTAGAAAGGAACCTAAAACTTAGTTCAAACTTCAGAAATCATATACCTAATGATAGATTACATAGGACTTGTGTTGTAACTACACGAAAGTACCACCCGACAAAATCAACCGCATGTTGTAATATTGGGTACAATAAAAAAAACTGATCACAAAATTCGGTTGATGTGCAATCGACAAGACACAGTCTAAGAATCTAGTGTTATATAATGAGAAGATATAAAGGTAATACAATATTTTCAACTCCAGTCTATGGAGAATTTCTATTTGATAACTAAAATATGATTGGTCACTTACACGAACAATTAGTGGAGAAGCAGGACTGGAAGAATTTATTTGCCGGACAGGATTTGTAAGCATTCCTGTAACGCTTGTACATGTTGTAGGAGTACTATGAACATTTGAATTTGCCAAGTTGAAGGCCAGCACTGTATGATTAGCTGCACTCAAGGGTAAAGATGGACCTGTATTTGATGAACTTCCAGAAAAACTTCGAAGAGACATCATCAAACTTGGATTTAAAGATGAAGAAGTTGCTATAGTTGACTGAACAGGTAAGTCAGATTGAGCTTGAACAATCAAGGATTGTGAAGACTGAATGGCAACAACATTACCACTGGAAGGAGACATGAACGAAACATTAGGATTCACTGTCAACCCTGACCATACACTACCTGTATTTGCTATAGATGGCCGAGTTGAAAGTGCTACAGTCTGAGATAAGGATGTCGGGAAAGCTAAAGCACTATTTCCAGAAGTGGATACAGTGCATGTGGATTTAGTAGTCGTGCAAACCGTAGATGGAGGTGTAATCAAACGAACAGTAGCAGATAGCGGTGTGGTAAAATTAACCAATTTAGCTGTAAGATAAAGGTATAAATAAGAATTTATTATTCTTATATATTATCACACTTTTCTGATATTTTTAACACAAATTATGGACCTATGTTCTTATATTAACCACCGAAAAGCAAATGAATGTTTTGAAAACCGTCATATATCCAACTAACTTTCATAACAACCGATGGAGAATATGGGATTCATGATGATAATGACAGATATTTCAACCAGTAACTTCAAGCAAAACATTTATAGAACCCACCTCAAAAATTGTAATCCAATTTAGTAATAGAGTATGAGTAATTTTTTGCTTTCCGAACCATACTTAGGGTGAGAACTGGATATATAATACCCGGATTTCCAGACTAAGGTACGACAGTTCGAAAATGTAGAGCCCAAGATGGTTAACTACTAAATTGTATCTCCTCTGCTTGAAAAGGTGGTAATATTGAAGTTCCAAATTTTACTTTAAAAATGTTGGGTACGATAGATCCCCAAAACTCATATTTTGTAATTTCATCTAATCGATTAACTTATCGATTAAATGTTCAAATATTTGAATGGCAGTCAATTGATGAACTTATCGATTAAATGTTTAAATAGCAGCCAATTGATGAACTTATTGATTAATGTTTAAAAATTTTCCATGACAATATCGATTATAAATATTTGTATAAATACTCTTGATTTGTGTGCTTGACCTGACTTGACTTAGTATCTGCTGTTTGCCTGTAGAATACACTTTCTACACCTTACGAAGTCTTCTTGATCGAGTTAGCTGAGTCGGGGACAACGAACCAGAATAGCCTAACGAGTCTCTGAATCCTGATCCTTCGCTCCGTTCCGAATAAGCCGAATCAGTAGTAGCATTCAAGCTTAACGAACATAACAAAAAACACTAGTACATTTCTTCATTTTTTTTCAGGTATCTAAATGATAATTTTCACATTAATTTTGTAAAATGTTGAGTGTAACAGACGAACAACCTTTGATAACTGATATTGTTTGATGATAAAACATGTGAGTAATCGGAACTACATTCACGGAGAAGTGGCTTTATGATCAGTGCGTTTAACTTCCGGTTAATAATTCCTAGATTCGAACGCCACCCCATTTACTTCAACTTGGGCAACAGGGTAACATAATAACTCATCACAATCAAGGTGCTTGATGAATGAATTTTTAGAAGTGTTTACATAAGCTTCATATTCAAAGGCAAAAGTTTACGGCATTTCCTTTTTTAGACAAAATAAGCTCTGTACAGTTTGTTTACCGAAACCTAAGTTTTACATAAAAACGATATCATATACAGGTTTGTGGTTTACGAGTAATTAATTCCTTTTTTCACTCATCTTACTTTCTAAACTAGAAAAGATTGGATCATATTTGTCAACTAGTGATTAGTATGGTTCCCAGATAAGCTATTTGGTATCCACATATTAAGGTGCATCTGAAACCCTGTAGACATTTAAACCCATATTAAGAGACATTATCGTCAAGTTACGCAGTCCGAAAAAATTGAAATCTGTAGAAATTAAGGGAAATACTAGACAAATATAGTTACTTTTTGATGTTTGTGGAGACTGTGTATTTACTTGATCATGGAAAATGATAGCGGGATTCGATAAATTGGTGAAACTGGAATCGGATGTACTCATCTTACTGGGAGATACAGTAGTAATTGAAGTTGTTGGATTCTCTATCAAAGATGGTGGGTTTGAAAGGCTTTGAGGTTTGTGAATAAGTACGCGTGGAGTTGAGCAGAGAGTAGAACTCATGAGCAAACTTCCAGATACAGAAGTCGGCGCAGGGAAATTTATGGCAGTTACACAATGTGATCTTTGAGACTGGAGTGGCAACGTAACATTTGTTGTAGGAGTTTCAAACACTAGTGGGCAGGCACTTGAATTCACTGTTGCAGTTGTAACCATAGCGCTACATTGGGTTGACGTATGGGTTGCGAATCTATAAAAGGAAAGCAACAGAAAACAAAGATGAAAACTGCTACAATATTTCCAACTAGCTATCAAGCAATTCACAATGAAAACCTCTAAGGGCATACATTTACGGAAACAAGCGTCGAATAGTAGATAAATGCAATTCGCATTTGTACTGAAAGTGTTATAAAGGGTAAAATACCCAACTTAATTACGGACTAGCTGTCTATCAGATTCTTTTTAAATTAAGCCCAACTCGCTGAAAATTTTCAGTAAGCGCAGGGTTAAAAATAGTAGACTGTTTGATAGGTGATCAGTGTAATGAACTGGTACTCAGTGTTTATTAAAACTTGACACGTAATTTATGCAATGGGAATGCTGAGCTCAGTTATGGATCACAGACAAACATTTTATAGGATGTTCCAAAGCTAGTTTCATATGAACAAATAAACATAATCAAACAGTATTTATTGTCCCATAATACACTTGCCTATTCTGGATAATTTAGTAAAGGTAACATTAGCCATAATTCTGAAAAAGATTGTTAGGATACTCGAAGTATTAGATTTTCCAGAGGTTTGGAAAATGAGTATTGATTACAGCTTTAGAAGGAACATCTCCAACCAGCTAACACTAAACACAATGCATTATGATATCCAGCCACTCAGACCTGTGACTAAACTGTGGCTTGTTCAACACTGTAGATTATACAATGTCGAAGTCTGTCGCAACTCAAAGAACTTAGTAAGTGTCTCACTGTGGTAAGGGTCTGAAACCCATGGAGGGAAGCAATGCCATTAGAATCGAAGAGGCATCTTGTAAAAGATTCCCTGAATGAAAGGTAGGTTTGCAACTGATTGCCTAGTCATCTAACATCAGAAATTTTAGATACAGTTAACTGGTCTACCCCGACCTTCATAGAAACAAAATCTACATCCGAGACATATTACATATTAACATACTACCACCAAAATAATTATGATAACAATACAAAAGATGAAAAACTGAGGCCATTGAATACACAATGTATGCCAACAAAAAGCTGTGTAAGATATTTGAGCTCCGGTACGCCTTAAATAGCTATAAAATATGAGCCCTATTCCCATTAACACAGAAAACGTTTACCTTCTTAGCAGTAAAACACTATCAGCTTTGGTGGTATTTTACAAAAACTACTGGAAAAAAATTTTAATATTGAAAAAAATGTTTAAAATATGTAGTAATACATTTTATTAAAGGCATTAATGTCACGAAGTGAGCAAACCTTAAAGCAAGTGTTGGTTGTATATGGTTTGGAGCCTGTGGAGATATGACAACAGAAGCTACTGACGGCGATGTGGAACAGTTTTTATTGATTAACGAAGCAACTAGTGGGGTGGAAGCTGTCGTAACACCAGATGTACCTAGCCGTGATGGACTGTTTAAAACATTCGGTACGGACAAACAAGATGCAGTAGTTGTGACACTTGGGTGTAAAAAGATACTTTGACTTGATGCTGATGCAACACTAGAGCTTCCTGAATAGTTCCCCAAGTGAAGTTGTAGTGGTGTCGGTGCACTTGATGTTGACGGAGGCAATGTAGATGCGGCAGCCAATATCAAAGGGAAGAACTGATTGGTAGAATTAATGGGAGATGAAACTGATGTAGCCGACATATGTAAACTAGAAGCATGTGGTAGAGGCGTATTGGCACCAGATGCAGTGGTGAGAGCAGTAGGTTGTATTATTGTTTGATTTATCAGACTAGACAGAGGTTGCTGAACGCTAAGCAATACACGTGGGAAAAATGGTACTGTTTTGGATGAATTGGAAGAAGGGTTTTGCAGAATGGAAGTACATATATGAGTTGGACGATCTGGTTCTAGAGGGGAATTCATAAAAATAGGCAACCACTAAAAAACTACATGGTAAGGATATGAGTATGATCAAATTATTTGTTTATGGATAGTATAATTCAAAAAAGAAACTCCGATAACTACTAATGAGAAATGCACCAGACGTAAAAAGGGATATATATATATATATATATATATATATATATATATATATAACTGGTTCTTAAGGTAAACTGTTATTACGTTTGGTAACTGTTTAGTTTTATAACCAAACCCTAAATGTACAATTCTTTACAAATTAGAGCATTTCGCAAAACGCGTGCGAACTATTCCACTAAGAGCCATGCTTACCAATATAAGTAGGAAGTGGAAAATGAATGTATAACAATTTCCTTTATTACATACTTCACAGACAAGGGTAGAGTAATGAACATAATGTGACCAAATTAACTTCAATTTATCTTACGTCCCAAATGACAGTATTCATAACTCACAATAAGGCGTGAATTCCTTAACTGTAACTATTTAGTTATCAAGCAACAACTACATAAATCCCTAAATTATGCTCGGAAGTGCTTATATACCACAGATAGTGATAGAGCCTTGGATGAATAGATTTTAATGAGTTCAAGCAAAGGCATGTTCATCCAGCTGACAAGCCCTTAATGGAAACCGTACCGAAGAGCAACACAGGGCATATTACTATATAGGAAGGATAAGAATAAAGCTTAATGGGTGGTTGTCAGTTCCACTTCCTCATAATTAGCCTACGGAACCTGTATTTTCCGATCATCTATGCTACGATGTTTTCCATGTTTATTATGTCCAGTGTTTTCACTTGTAACCAGACCACTTTGCAAGAAATAGCCCTATTTTTATTGCCGAGTTGTGTTGATTTGTTAATGATTAATTTTGAGCTCGTGTCAATGGTTCAGTCTTGTGACCAGCTATCAGTCGGTCATGCTACAATATAACCCATCGATCAGCATTGTTTCTTTTAAAACCCGAATTGGTTTGCAACAAATCGTAAGACCATCAAGCACAACGCTTCACAGTATACTTTCCTTTTGATAGATAGAGCCAACAGAAGACTTGGTCTGACTGAGGGATAAGTTAGGATTCCGACCATGATGTAATGCAATCAAGCGTTTATCAGCCTTAGTGAACACAAAAGGATTTTGATCTTAAAGCCGAGTCTAGCTCAGCTTGGTGTTTGTGGTAACGTTAGTTGCAACAATTAGTTTGATGCAAAAAATGTTTATACCAAAAAAGCCCAATCTAAGTTAATCATAAATAGGCGATGTTTTTTGACAACCTTAGCCAGAAGCTTAGGAAAGACCGGTCGGTTCTTGAGGTTACTGCTTGACTAAAAGATGTTCGGAAGAACATCTCGGAGTGTTCAGAACACAACGAGCGAAAGAAACCTAAATCTAGACTTTAAAAAGTGTGGGTAGTGATTAGAAGTGGTGGATGATGGATGAAAGAAGTATAGGCAATAGGCAGATACTCAGACTCAAAAAAAGGTGAGCGCCAAGATATTGGTAGCCATCGTGTTAAAAGACGATGTTAGGATTCACTTTCAGATTAGGCGATTAAGGAGTAGTTTAACTGGTATGTAGTTAATCTACGGTTCTTCATTACTTAGCACCCTGAAAATATTAACCTGAAGCCACTGGAGCTTAAGCTTTAAGGAGTATGACATAAAGCGAGAGAGAGAGCAGAAGGACTTGACGGAATAACTTCGGAGGTTTCTAGAGAGTGATTAAGAAATATCATTAGAATCGGCTGGTAATAACTGAGACTTGGCAGTCGTAATAATTCTATACGACTTGCTATAAAAGCTAACAGTGATAGTTTAAAAAGTACAGGAATTGTCCTGTAATGACCACATAAGGATAAGTTGAACTAATGTTTAAGATACTAACTTCAATAATTTGGAACCTAACCGAAGCTAGAGAACAGGAAGCCGCGAAACATCAAGTAGGTCACAAATATGGTCGTGAATGTGTAGGTTGAGCATTCACTCCAATGTTTCTGAACATGAGAATAAAGATGGCGAACGCAGTCACCTATTTTGAGTTGAGTTGTTAGCGGGACATAGATTAGATCAAAGTATGCTTTGATTTTTTTGGGTGGTAGGACTTAAACCTGCCCCCAAATGCCCTGGTACGGTCGAGAGTGAGGAGAGTCCGCCCTCCCTCTCCAAATGTTCTCACATGGCCATGCGTATATAGCCTCTACCAGGGAAGTCCTACTCATTACCTTCTCGTGACGGGGGTGTTGTTTACGAAATTAAGAGGACGAAAAGCGAATGTCCGGCGCTTTAACCGGGTCAGTGGACATGGAGAGTCCACCTAGGGGAGTTGGAAAACCTTAATTCCAAACCAATAGTGCACATGGGCTACAGTATCCTGAGTGAACAAATGGCGTATGAACCAATCGTTGGTCACCGACTACCATGGGACTGCATCTCCTTACGATGCTCCACTGACTTGTGGATCAGACTTTCAGGTCGAAGGCTCCGGGTGTGGCCCCCTAAGAAAGCCACCTGCTTCTGTTTGGGCACCCGGGCAGTATCACAGCTGTCACACAAATCAAATGAGATTTGTGTGGCCCATATGTATTTGGTGCCTCCTTCCTGACCGTTGTTGCTACCTTGACGTGGTGGTCGGGCTTGCCTATCGTGATGAAGCAACCGAGCTATACTGGCTGGAACAACCGTTCCTCAAGGTCCTACCATGTCAGACAGGTCGGTTGAAGAGCGGTAAGACTAAAAGCAACAAACCCAAGGTCCGAAGGCGAAGTCGTACTGCTGACTGTACAGAGGTGTGACAACAGTAAGGTGTTTCCTTCAGACAACCAGCATAACAGCGATGCTGCCTGCCCACAAGGAGGGGTGGGGTTAGAAAAGGTCGACCCTAAAAATGCACACCTCACCTTACCTCACGGATTTCCGTCTCCGGCGGTAAGGCCCTTTGAAGAACGGAGCTAACACGTCAAATACCTCCCACGAAAAGGCCGTGCGCGACCGGCCTCAAGCAGTTGTCCCTTGGGCACTGCGGTCACGCTCTCAGGTCACTGAGACCACCTCTAATCCAATTTCCTTTTCAGGTACCTCCAGAAGAACCCTTCCTCGGTGTGGGCAACCGGGAAGTGATAACCTCCCTCATACCTCTAACAGCACCCAAGACCACTGTATTCATAATCAATCTTCCTCTTCAATTCCTATTATTCCTCCTACATCGACTTTCAACCCTAAACTTCCTCCTTCGGCTTCCTCCTCAAGTGTCACCATAGCCAACGATTCTAGTGCTCAAAACTCTGTCCCAGGTCTACTGAAACCTCGCTCCAAACTACACATTGGAGCTCTCAACGTACGCACTCTATGTCAAATCGGTCAGCAGGCTTCCTTGGCTAAAACCCTAGAGTCTCTTTCCATTGATGTATGCTGTGTCTCCGAAACACGCATACAGGATTCCAGTGTGGTCATTCACTTGACCTCACCTCGGCAAAACGGATAGCCAACGAGATACACCCTACGTGTATCTGGTGACCCGATGGCCAGTTCTCGTGGATCCCCGTCAACAGTCGTCTATGTGCTGTTCGGCTAAACGACTCCGTAAAAAGTCGGAAGAATAGGGACACACGTCGTTGCCTTTTCGTCGTTTCTGCCTACGCTTCCACTGACTGCAGCTCAGATGATGTGAAAGATGAATTTTACAGAAAGCTGTCCGAACTTCTTCAGAAAGCTAAACGTTCAGACATAGTACTCATAGGGGGTGACTTTAATGCTCAGATAGGTAGCTTAAACCAAACAGAAAGGCATTTAGGTGGATATTTTAGTATTCCAGCACAGCGAACAGATAATGGTGACCGTCTGCTGCAACTGTGCTCAGACAATCGCTTATTTTTAGCAAACACAAATTTTAAGCATAAGAAGAGACATCGTCTAACGTGGCGACCGCCTGCACCAAACCAACGATGGACTCAAATAGACCATATTGCCATCAGTCATCGTTGGAGAGGGTCGGTACAAGATTGTCGCTCATTCTGGAGTACCTGCTTGGACTCCGACCACGCCCTAATACGGGCACGCATCTGCTTGCGCCTCACTGGACGCAAAAAAGCCACAGTAAAAAGACCCATTAGAACCGAACTGAGTAGCGAGGAAACCAAAAGTAGGTTCCAAGAACAACTGAGGTCACGATTAGGTAGTTCTGAAGACGAGGCTGACCCAGATGTTGCTTGGAATGAAATACAGGCAGCTGTGGAAACAGCAGTGACATCTATTAGCGACTTAAACCACAGAGTTTCAAAGAACCAGTGGATTTCTTCAAAGTCTATCACACTGATGGATTCTCGCAAACTCGTCCCATCAGGTTCCGAACATGATAAAGAGCGACAACAAATCAGATCTAGGTTAAGAAAAAGTCTAAGAAACGACCGTGAGCAGTGGTGGGCAACGAAAGCAAAAGAGATGGAAAAGGCGGCGACTATAGAGAACACAAGACAGCTTTACAGGCTAATAAAAGAAACTGGAATTAATAAGTCAAGTGTGAGATTATATCAGAAAAAGACGATACTCTCATCTGCTCCCAGTCCAAGCGTTTAGAACGATGGGCGGAACATTTCAGAGAACAGTTCAGCTGGCCTTCAGCTACTCTACAACTACCCTCCATTCCCAGACAGTGTGAATGGAACATTGAAGTAGGTCCCCCAACTCTTGCTGAAGTTCAAAAGGCTATAGTTAATCTGAAACGAGGAAGGGCAGCTGGTCCAGATGGACTGGCTCCAGAGGTCTTTAAGGATGGTGGTCCAATTTTAGCGATTAGGTTGACTAATATTTTAGCTAAGATCTGGGAGTTAGACGTTATTCCATCTAACTGGTCACAATCACTTATCGTCCAAATATATAAGAAAGGGTCAAAATCATCCTGTGACAAACACAGAGGGATTAGTTTAACTAATATAATATCTAAAATACTAGCCTCGATAATTATCAGACGCCTAACTAAGACTCGTGAACTGCAAACACGAGAGAACCAAGCTGGCTTTAGACCTGGTCGTGGCTGCATCGACCACATATTCACCATTCGTCAGATTCTAGAACACAGGCATACTTATCGGCATCCGACAATGGTAGTCTTTCTTGACTTAAAAGCAGCATTTGACTCGGTAGACCGCGAGATTCTGTGGCAGTGTCTGTCATTGAAAGGTGTACCCCAGAAGTACATAAACCTTGTAAAGGCTCTTTACTCGAACACTACTAGTCGAGTCAGAGCTTATGGCGAACTGTCATCTACTTTTGCAACCTCAAGTGGTGTCCGTCAAGGCTGTCCACTTTCCCCATTTTTGTTTAACTTCATCATAGATCTACTGATGGAAATAACTTTCTCATCGACTGAGTTCTCGGGTATTGATCTCCATCCAGGAGGTCCACTTATCGACTTAGAATACGCAGATGACATAGTCCTGTTTGGTGAAGACGCTGACAAAATGCAGTCTTCTGGTAGCACTGAGCAACAATGCCAGGATGTTTGGAATGCGCTTCTCTCCCTCTAAATGCAAGTTGTTGCTTCAGGACTGGTCTGCGTTAACACCTGAACTAAGGATAGGGAGTGAAGTAGTCGAACGCGTTGACAACTTCACTTATCTTGGAAGTCTGATCAGCCCTAATGGGTTGGTATCGGACGAAATCTCAGCACGGATTCGAAAAGCTCGATTGGCTTTTGCCAACTTGCGTCACCTATGGCGAAGGCGAGATATCCGCCTATCAATAAAAGGACGAGTATACTGCGCGGCAGTCCGTTCTGTTTTAATTTACGGCAGCGAAACATGGCCATTAAGAGTAGAAGACACTCGTAAGCTATTAGTATCTGACCACAGATGCCTCAGAAATATTGCTGGCATCTGCTGGGATCACCGGATAAGTAATAGTGAGGTTAGACGCAGGGTATTAGGGAATGATGGTAAATCAGTTGATGAGGTCATGAATCTTCATCGACTGAGATGGTACGGCCACGTGTTACGTATGCCTGAACACCGACTACCACGACGTGCAATGCTATCCGGTATTGGAGATGGTTGGAAGAAAGTTAGGGGCGGCCAAACCAAAACGTGGCATCAGTGCTTGAAGACACTAACTTCTAGTCTGAGCCATGTTGGTAGATGCAGACTACTTGGTTGGGGTCCGCGTGACTTTCGTAACCAATGGTTGGAGACTCTTGGTGACATGGCTCAGAATCGATCACAATGGCGTCGGTGTATACACTCCCTGTCTTCCCTTAAACTAAGAGATTAAAATCGCTTCATATCTTTCTTTCTACGAACCAATTCTTTCTTCTTGTACTATATCTCTATATGCAATCTTTCTCTTATATATTACCACCTCTGACCTAACCACTGCTGTGAATCTGGTGTTCATCTTGTTGTGCTGATGCGGTATGGCAACGTGGACCGATGCACATATGTGCCTGGTCCTACGTTGTAGCTGACTGACTGACTGACTGGTGCCTCCTTGTACCAATATCTATGTGTGCAAATAATAAAATAATAATAAGGTCTTATACCTTGCATTACCCTAGTCTAAGCTAAGTAATAAAATGAACATAGCGAATTTGGACCGGATCAGTGACCGTAACGTATGGATGCAAACGGGTGACAAAGAATAAATTGAGTAAATGTAGTATGATCATGCTCTGCTTCGCTTTCCTATTAACCCTGAGTTTAGCATTAGTTCATAATCTACATTCCTTAATTTTATTTGAACTATAATCCTCATGTCTTGCTTCCCATCAGACTTGACAGAATTTCTCTCTAGACCCTCATTTTGTTGACTTCGTTTATTAATGTGCTGATTTAAAGCGTGGTAGCTTAGAAAGATATGTATATTTTTCAATTAACTTTACAAGATACTCACTGGACTGGGAAAAATCATCATTGAATAAGTAGGGGTTCAGTTACTCCTTCGAGTGGTCGACATAGCATTACCCCTATTACTGGAAGACCTTAAAATACATATGCACGTCGAAGGCAATACATAAGCGAGCGTTAACACAAATCTAGTGGACGACCATCTCTAAACTAATCTTCTGTTCTACTTCATAAGCCTGATTTACCAATTGTCGCAGTGATCTGTCTTACTCTTTGCTGATTTAATTAAGATTTCGAGACTCATACATCGTATGTCTGATAGGATAATATTATAAGAAGGCCTGGATTCACTAGATGAATGAATAAGCGGGGATTAAAAATCAGTTCTACCAAAAGAGAATGGTGATGAAAAGAACGAACTGTGAAGTTTCATACAAATAAGCAGTAAGTGGAATGGCAATAACCGAAGCAACGGACGATAAAGATTTAGACGTTTTAACTAACAATGCACACTGAACTACGAATAAATATAAGGTTGCCGCTGCCAAAGGCTTTAGCGTCTCATTACCTTTTCGTAAGTCATTCCGATAAATAAATGTTCAGGATATGAGGTGAGACTACAATTAATAGATGAATCAATCTGACCTAAGATTGTGACTCTTGGATATTGGGGCAGAATTCAATTATTTATATGATTAAATCCCCAGTGCCGACTTATGACGCTAACGTCTGATCTCGATCACTCACATCAATTAATAATCCTACTTCGATCGTAGTAAGTGGTTGAATTCCCTCAAGGACGAAGCAATATCGCTCAAAGGTCGTTCATAAATAATAAATTCTCAGGATATTATCAGTCAGTCAGTATGTACGAGCAATATTTCGAAGACACCTATGATCAAATACTAGTAACATACGAATATTATCTACTCATACCGGCCATGTTTCACTGCCATAAAGTAGGACGGAACGAATTGCTGCACAGTAAACACGTCCTTTGGTTGATAGACGGATATCTCGCCTACGCCATAAATGACGCAAGTTGGTAAAAGCTGGTCGAGCCTTCTGTATCCGTGCTGAGATTTCGCCACACACCAGACCACAAGAGCTGATGAGACTTCCAAGGTAAGTGAAGCGGTCGACACGCTCAGGATTTTATACCCAGCATTTGTAAGACTCCATTTGCTATATGACTCAGAGTCCTTATTTCAGATATGAGGCGGGTATGATAAAATGAGTCAAATGGCGAGTGACCAGAATGAAGAAAAGTTTCGCTGACCGACCTTATGAAGAAAGACCTAGACGCCCCAACCTATTTCCGTTATCGCAGGTTACGACGTGGTTCAGTACCGGCTTACAGCATACAGAATGGTGATTTCGGCATTAACATATCTTGTTTTCTCTTTATATCCAGAACTGGTGGCCATCTGAGAGGACATTCGGAGAGACTATAATTTATGGAAGAACCAAACACGTTTAGGATAACAATTCTTGGATTTCGGCGCGAAATTCACTTACCCGTTTGACCAAATAGAGTTTTGACACTTCAGGTGGTTAGTTCGTGGTGAAAACACGGAGTTTAATTTCTAACCCTAACCGTCAACCGTAAATATTAATTCCGATTCGCACTAGTTTATAACCCCTGTTTGGCCCTAGTAGGTAGATGAACGTTCTCAGGGTTACTTTAGCGTCGCTAACAGATCACCCATAAATTAGTCTCACCGAACCCCCTAACAGGACGCTTAATATATGCACCTGTCGGTACACTGAAAGTGAAGTCCGGACTTTGCAGTAGTACAAATACCGAAAATTAGTAAGGATCGCTTGACCTCTGAAGACTGAAAGCTTCCACCATATATGACTTGATGTAAAAAAAAATAGGACCCGACAAACCCATTCGAAGTGAACTTGACAAATGCTTAGCACAGAGTTTCGTTATCTTGAATTATTCTTGGAAGTTGCTTAAATTCAGAATTGGGATTAGACTGTGAAAATTAGACCCAAGAGCAGCTAACAGAACCAGTCGGAATCTACGCAGTCGAATTCAGGCCAACGAAACTTTGAGGCTGATACTACTTTATTCAAGGCAATCGGTATGCTTTGGAACATCAATAAGCTATATATTTCACGTATTACCAGGGAGCGTGTTGTTGAAGGTAAACTACGGAGCTATAGTAAGTCATACCTGGTAGTAAATAGCATACACCAGTCACAAGAACAAATTAAGCTAACTTTAACTAACCTCTAGCTAGTTTTCCAGCTGGCAAAACTTGGTTGATATCGTTGTCAATATCCATAAATAACAGGATGAAGTCACTTCAGTCGGACGTCCATTATTTATGATCCGAGATTCCGCAACCCAAGGGGTAAATGTAATAGAGCAACCTCAACATATAACTTCTTTGAACTGTTAACAGTACGAAGCAACAATCACTGTACGAGCCTTGACGACTCAAACCGATAATACAAACAAATCCCGTCCACAAACATCAGAACCGAAAGCATTTTCGACCTTCACAACCCACTTGAAACAAACAAACAATTCCTTCAACTATCAGACGGTTTCTTGTTCCATCAACTTCTAATTTGAAGATGAAATCACTTATTCCAACACAAGTGTATTGTGTTGATCTAACTGCCTCGTGTCAATGAACGACATATATTCAGTCTTCAGTTTTCAGTTGTAGCGGTAAATAAATCCCCAAAATAAATAGCACTAAGTTTTCGACATTGGATGCTGACCATATGTTTTAGTGGACTCACCTAGCTGAAGGCGCTCGGTCAGGCATCCGCACCAGATCACGTGTGGTAACGCCGTGCTCAACATCAACCGCAATCGCTAGCCAGATTAGATCAGAGAATTCCGATATATTGGTCATCGCCAAATACACTCTTCCGATCTCCTCGACTCTGTCTTTTGATTTCTCTGGGTGGGAACGAAATATATTAGAAGGTGTTACTGGTAGAAGCGCTGTCAAACACTGAATACCTGTGACATCATCATTGGTGAGACCGACGTGATCTGGTACACCTATTTGCAACTGTGAGTCTGTTCCTTTTTGGGATTTTTATATATCATTGCCTTATTTCTTATTTTTTTTAAAAACATTGTGATTTTTTTTCGTGTTTTTTCTTGGATATATATATTTTTTCCCCTCGTTATTATCATAATTCATACTTCATCATGACTGAACAGACACCTAAAGTACTCAAGCTTAAGACTTTGTCCCCACCTTCGTTTCAACTGATGCCTTTCTGGCCCGACAACATCGAAGCCTGGTTCTGCTACGCAGAAGCCGACTTCCACGAGCACGGCGTGATCGACACACGTGCACAATTCCTCGCAGTAGTCAAGGCACTACCGCGCGAATTCAACAGGTACGTAACACCAAGTATGTTTACTAGTGATGTTTCCGATCCTTACGAAATCTTAAAACGCTCGATTCTTAAACGAGGAGACCTAACCGATCGACAAAGGTTAGATCAACTCTTCAACAATATCGACCTGCAACACGGTTCTGCGACAGACATGTTGCAACGGATGAGAGAGGTAATAGGTCCAAGAACTTTCGACGAAGGTCTATTCAAACAACTCTTCTTGTCAAAACTTCCCCAACAGGTGCAAGCAGTTCTGGTCTCGTTCCAGAACAACGCCTTAGACGAGCTAGCTGCATCTGCCGACCGCATTTTAGAAATTACGAAATCTACTACCAAGGTATTTTCAGTCAAAGAAAAACCTCAAACGACTCAGAATGATATAAACGACTTATGTCACACACTCACGCGTTATCTTAGTCTTCGTACCGACCGTAAGAGATCGCGCACACCACGTAGAAGCATTTCTCGTAAGCGATCTGTCTCTAGGCCACAAGAGACAGATAACCCCGACTGGTGCTGGTATCATAACCAGTATGGAAAGTTTTCCAGAAATTGCAGAAAACCCTGCAATTTTCCCAACACGAAACCGAGTGACTCGAAAAACAACTCGGGAAACTTCCAAGCCGGCACGCGTTAACGGCAACCGTAGCCGGCGAACATAGCCGTCTGTTATTCGTCACAGATGTGACAACGAGAGTTCGCTACCTCGTCGACACTGGCGCAGAAGTTAGCGTTCTCCCAGCAAATCCTAACGACCGACTTCGCGAATCGACTCTAAACTTACAGGTGGCAAACAGAAAACCGATCGCTACGTATGGCAAAAGGTACGTTTACCTTAACGTGGGTTTACGCAAACCCATTCACTGGATCTTCGTTGTTGCTGATGTTTCTATGCCAATCATTGGTATGGATCTTCTACAACACCATAATCTGATCATCGACACGCGCAAACGGAGGCTAGTAGACGGAAACACTAATTTATCTGTTTGCGTAACTTCTTTTACTGGTTGCAAATTATCCCGTCACAATTAAACATATGATAGACCCACTCTATCAGCCACTTCTCGATAAGTATCCTGGGATACAACAAACGCAACCGAGATTACCGTGTGTAACCAGCAACGTTACACATCACATCACGACTACAGGACCACCTGTATTTTCTAAAGCACGACGACTAGCTCCTGAAAAGCTAAGGTTAGCGAAAAACGAATTCGATCACATGATGGACTTAGGAATCATACGACCGTCAAGTAGCCCATATGCATCTCCATTGCACATGGTCCCTAAAAAGGACAGCAACGATTGGCGTCCAACTGGTGACTATCGGCGATTGAACGCGAAAACCATTCCCGATCGTTACCCGTTGCCTCACATTCACGATTTGACAGCTACCTTGAAAGGTACAACTGTCTTTTCGAAAATCGACTTGATTAAAGCGTATAACCAAATCCCTATGGCTACTGACGACATACCGAAAACAGCTATCATAACTCCTTTCGGACTCTATGAATTTCTGCGAATGCCTTTCGGTCTAAGGAATGCTGCTCAAACATTCCAAAGATTCATAGACGACGTTTTTCGAGGTCTCAACTTCGTACACACGTATTTTGACGACTGTCTAATCGCAAGTCCGGACAGAGGAACACATCTCAAGCATCTGGATCTTGTTTTCGAACGACTACAAAAACATGGCATAACTGTAAACGTTCAGAAATGCCAATTCGGAACCGACTCATTAGACTTTCTGGGACACACTATCGATGCTCAAGGTATCCGACCCCTTAGAACCAAAGTGGCGGCCATTCTGGATTACCCAGAACCGACCACCGTTAAGCAATTACGCACGTTCAACGGCCTGGTAAGTTTCTATAGACGTTTCATTCCCAAATGCGCATTACTTATGAAACCTCTGACCGACCAACTTCGTGGAAATGCGAAATCAATTAATTTGGACGACACCGCACGGAAAGCATTCTCCACAGTTAAGGAACTGATCGCTAAAGCAACAATGCTCGCACATCAGGACACCGAAGCACCCATTAGTATCGCAGTAGACGCATCGGACTCGGCAATCGGAGGCGTCTTACAACAATGGGTTAACAACTCCTGGCAACCCTTGGCATTTTTCTCTAGAAGGTTGCTAGACACCGAATCGAGGTACAGCACATTCGGTAGGGAACTCCTAGCTATGTATTGTGCTGTACGGCATTTCCAACACTACATCGAAGGTCGTGAATTCACTCTTTTCACGGACCATAAACCGCTCACTTTCTCGTTAAGCTCTCCTTCTGACAAGTACTCTCCCCGTGAGTCTCGACACCTGGACTACATTTCGCAGTTTACTTCAGACATTCAACACATCTCTGGAGCAAACAATGTAGTTGCAGACGCTTTATCTCGCATAACTTCCTTGAACAGTTTCCAAGGAATCGACCTTCTTAAACTCGCCGAGCTTCAAAAAGAAGACACTGATCTTCAGCATGAGTTATCGTCCACAACACTTAAACTACGCATCAAACAGATGGGAACAGGTAAGGAAACCTTACTTTGTGACACATCTACAGGTAGGGATCGCCCGATCGTGCCGAAACATTATCGACGCAATGTCTTCAACACATTGCACAAACTTTCGCATCCAGGTGTTCGTGCAACCATCAAGCTTATAGCAGGACGGTTTCGCTGGCCTGGAATGAATAAAGACGTGAGGGAGTGGGCACGCTCTTGTATAAGCTGCCAAAAATCTAAGGTTATCAGACACAATAAATGTCCCTTAGGCCCATTTAAAACTCCCGATGCTCGTTTCGACCATGTTCATCTGGATTTGGTGGGACCTTTGCCAGATTCAAATGGATACTCTTATCTCTTAACCTGCGCAGACCGTTTCACTCGATGGCCAGAAGCAGTACCTATCAAGGACATCACTGCTGAAACAGTGGCCCGCACATTCGTCGAACGATGGGTAGCAAACTACGGCTGCCCTTCAACCATCACTACAGACCGCGGACGTCAGTTTGAATCTGATCTTTTCCGTCGTCTGACCACACTTTTAGGAACCACTCGCTTCCGAACGACCGCCTACCATCCACAAGCAAACGGGTTGGTAGAGCGTTTTCACCGACAACTGAAAGCTTCGCTATCAGCTGCAAACGTTTCACAGTGGACCGACGCTCTTCCACTCGTCTTACTAGGTACCCGCAATGCAGTGAAAGCTGACATTGGATACACTGCGGCTCAACTCGTTTATGGAACGACACTTCGACTTCCAGGAGAATTCGTTGATCCTTCATCCTCTTCAATGAACATGGATCTAACCTCCTACACGAACAGGCTTACAAACGCAATGCGTTCAGTTAAACCTGCTTCCACTCGACCTCAATCAACTGGTGTTTTCGTTCAACCTGACTTACGATATAGTACACACGTTTTCGTTCGTCGAGACTCGCATCGACGACCATTCGAATCAGCATACGAAGGACCCTTCAAAGTTCTTCAACGTGAATCTAAGTACTATATAGTCGATAAGAACGGAACGAACGATAGCATCAGCATCGATCGCTTAAAAGCAGCGTATTTACGAGGAAATCCTATCTACGTGGATTTTCCTTCGGTACAATCGAACGACACGACTCCGACACTTATAATACCTCATCCGACAACCAACACACACGATGATACTTTGACAGTATCCGAAAATAAACTTAAAACGACGCGTTCTGGAAGAAGGGTGAGATTTCCAGAACATTTAAACGACTATAGCACGTAAGGCACTTCCCGACATTTTATATTATTTTTTAAAAAAAAACAATTTTAATATGCTTATATATTTTTATTTCTATTTTAAAAAAATACAAAACAAAAAAACAATTTTTTTAAATGCTATTACGTGTTCATGAGTTTATTTTCCATTTTTTCTCCACCGACATTGTGTTTTTACGCACATACGAGTGTATTTCGACATGCACTTACAGTTTCTTTTTTCTTTTCCAGGACGGCTGGAAAAGAACGATGCAGTTTACGAGGAGTCGAAGTTTTCGTTGTAACTTTTTCTTTTGTTACTATGTTGTACCTCGGTCCCACATAGTAAGGAAAGACGACCAGACGCTGCTACACTTAGTAAGCTATCAGAAGAGTGTTTACCAA